CACTGATAACCCTAAACTCCATATTATTTATTTTTCATCTTCATTGGTTGCATACATTTTCAAATGTAGAAAAGTACATGGAATAACATAACCAATATATGTATCCTCCATTTAGTTCTATCAAATCTGGCCAGATCAACTTTCAGATTGTGTTTGAAAAAATAAATATTTCAGATATAGATGATATTTCTTGTATGACCCTCCCCAGTCTCAACCCTCTCCCTTTCTTGAATTTAACAATGATCATGCTCTTTCATGTTTATATATTATTACTATTATATGTATATAGCCATAAGCAATATATAATCTTTTCAAGCTTTATATAAATGGTATACTGTACATGTTTTGTAACTTTTTCTTTATGCTTAACATCATATTTTTGAGATTTAACTCTGTTTATACATGTTGCTTGAGTTATTCATTTTAATTCCAAAATAATATTCAGTTTCATGAATACCAGGGTTCATTTTTTCATTCAACTCCTGATGGACATTTAATTTGTTTCCTTTATTTGAGATTACCAATCATGCTGCAGTGAGTATTCTTTTACATGTATCCTTATGCACAAAGGTTAGAATTTTGCTCAGGTCTATAACAAGAAATAGAATTTCTGGGTTGAAGGGTATTATACAATGTCAAATGGCTCTTCATAGCAGTTCTATCAACCTATACTTCTTATAGCAGTGATCAGAGTTCCATCTGTTCTACATTCTCAACACTTGGTGTTGTCTGAATTTTTGCATTTTTGTCAAACCAATGATTGTGGAATAGTATCTCATAGCTTGAAATAAAAAACAACTTATTGGGGTATAATTGATTTACAATATTGTGTTAATTTCACGTGTACAGCAAAGTGAATCTGTTATACAAATACATATATCCACTCTTTTTTAGGTTCTTTTCCGATATAGGCCATTATAGAGTATTGAGTAGAGTTCCCTGTGCTATACAGTAGGTCCTTATTAGTTATCTGCGTTATGTATAGTAGTGTGTATGTATCAATCCCAACCTTCCGATTTGTCCTTACTGCCCCCCCCCCGTAACCATAAGTTTATTTTCTATATCTGTAACTCTATTTTGGTTTCATAGATAACTTCATTTGTAGCTTTCTTCTGGATTCCACATATAAATGATATCATACGATATTTGCCTTTCTCTGTCTGACTCACTTCACTTGGTATGAGAATCTCTAGGTCCATCCATGTTGCTGTAATGGCTTGAATTTTCAATTTCCCTGAGTAGCAATGAGGCGAATCATCCTTTCATATCCTTTTGTCCTTTCATGTCCTTTGCATATCCTTGACTATGAATTGCTTAGTCATTTATTCATTTATTTATTTTGGGCTGTGTTGGGTCTTCGTTGCTGCATGAGCTTTTCTCTAGCTGTGGCAAGTGAGGGCTACACTCCAGCGGCAGTGTGCCGGCCTCTCATTGAGGTGGCTTCTCTTGTCTCAGAGCATGGGCTTTAGGGCACAAGGGCTTCAGTAGTTGCAGCTCATGGGCTCTAGATCACGGGCTCAGTAGGTGTGGCACACAGACTTAGTTGCTCCACAGCATGTGGAATCTTCTCTGACCAGGGATCGGACCCATGTCTCTAGCATTGGCAAGTGGATTCTTTACCACTGAACCACCAAGGAAGTCCCTTTATTCATACATTTTGTCAGTTTTTCTTTTCCTTATTTTTCTGGGGGAGAGCATGCCCCATTCAAGGCATGTGTGGTTTTAGTTCCCCAGCCAGGGATCAAACCCATGCCTCCTGCGCTGAAAGCATGGAGTCTCAACTACTGGCTCTCCAGGGAAGTCCCTGTTAGTTTTTCTACAAGGTTTCTTTCCTTTTTCCTCACTGATTTGTAGAGGTTCTTATGCATTCAAGACACAAATTCATTTATTCATTTAATCAATATTTTTCTAGCATCTACTTTGTTCTAGAAATGGTTCTAGGTGCTGGGAATGCAAGAATGTAAGAACTCCTGCCCTTCCAGAACTCTCATTCTGGTAGGGGAAGGTAAACAATAAATGCAATTGATAAGTAAAATAAAATAATCAACAGTGAAAAATCTTCAGGAGAAAAAATAAACAGGGAAGAGAGATAGGGAGTATGTGTGTGTGGAAGTGGGAAAGGAAATTGTTGAACTGCAATTTTTAAAAAACCTTTATAAAATTTCACACAATGATTTCTTTTTAATTTTATTTACTTATTTATTTTTGGCTGTGCTGGGCCTTCACTGCTGCATGGGTTTTTCTCCAGTTGTAATGAGTGGGGGCTACTCTCCTTTTGCAGAGCGTGGGCTCTAGGGCATGCAGGCTTCAGTAGTTGTAGTACAAAGGCCCAGTAGTTGCAGCTTCCAGACTCTAGAACACAGGCTCAAAAGTTGTGGGACATGAGCTTAGTTGCTCCTCAGCATGTGGAATCTTCCCAGACCAGGGATCGAACCTGTGTCTCCTGCATTGGCAGGCAGACTCTTCATTATTGAGCCACCAGGAAAGCCCCTGAACCGCAGTTTCAAATAAAGTTGTCTAGGAAGACCTCTCTTAGAAAGTGACTTTTGAGCAAAGACCTGAAGAAGGTTAAGAGTGCAGGCAAATCTCTCTGAAAGTGTTAGCCGTTCAGTTGTGTCCAACTCTTCGCAACTCCATGCCATTAATTGTAGCCCGCCAGGCTCCTCTGTCCATGGGATTTCCCAGGTAAAAATACTGGAGTGGGTTGCCATTCCCTTCTCCAGGGGATCTTCCCCACCCAGGGATCAAACCTGGGTCTCCTACATTGCAGGCAAGTGCTTTACCATCTGAGATACCAGGGAAGCCCAAGAGTGCAGGCAAGGTGAACCGCCAGCGCAAAGGCCCTGAGGCAAGAGTGTGCCTGGCAAATCCTAGGAATAGAATGGAACAGTGTGATTAAGCAGAATGAGTTGGAGGGAGTGGTGGGAGAGTGAGTTAGGTTATGACATCTAGAGTGTAGAACCTCATAGGTTATCCTTTGTCAATTATAGTTACTGAAAATGTTTTGCCATCCTGTGGCTTGTCTTTTAACTTGTTCATGTTATCTTTTTTTTGCCTGTTCTGTGATTTATTCTATTCACCCAAAAATATATACTGGCCAGCCTTCTGAATCAGCTAATATTTAGAGATCTACCACGTTAATTTTTGCAGCTGCATAGTATTTCACACAGTATGAATGGACCACAGGTTCATTTGTATTTCTTTACATTCTTAAAAAAGAAATGCTCAGATGAACATTCTTGTACATTCTTCTTTGGGAACATCTACATGTTAACCGTATAGTAAATGTCTAGCAGTGCAATTTGTTTGTAATTAAGTATATGTGTCCTTTATATTCTGATATTGCCACATTTCATACTTTCATGTTATCTTGAAGTGCATACATTTTGATATCTAATGTAGCTAAATGTGTCAATCAATTCCCCTACTTCCTCCTTTTTAGTGTCTTAAGTAATCATTCTCATTCCCTAGGTCATAATGATATTCTCCTATTTTCTTCTGAAAGTTGTAAAGATTTGCTTTTCACATTTAGATATTTAACCCACGGGGAATTGACTTTTTTTCCCTCTATGGTGTGATATAGGGATCAAATTTTATTTCTCCATGTGGATTATCAATATTCCCTGCACCATTTAGTGGATAATCCATTTTTCCCACATTAATTTGAAAAGTCAAATATGCCACATATCAACTTTCCATATATGTGTAGATCTGTTTTGGGGCTCAGTATTTGATTCCATTGGTCTTTCTACCTCCATACCACACTGTGTTAATTAATACAGGTTTAAAGTCAGTCTTGATATATAGTTCATCATAGAGTCTTGAACAAAAGAATAACACAACTGAAACATTAGGAAGAATATTCTTATGACTGTCAACAGAGTAAAATGATCAAATGAGATATCACAAGGGCTTACACTCAAGTGATGGCAGTGTGAATGGCAAGAAAACAAAGAATCTAAAGGTAATTCCAAAGACCATATTAATAAGATTTGCCGGCTGACTGGATACGAAGCAATCAGGAGAGAGGAATCAAGCATAATAAGTCGCTTCACTAGTGTCCCACTCTCTGAAACCTTGTGGACTGTAGCCCGCCAGGCTTCTCTGTCCATTGGGATTCTCCAGGCAAGAATACTGGAGTGGGTTGCCATGCCCTTCTCCAGGGAATCTTCTCGACCCAGGGATCAAACCCGCGTCTCTTACATCTTCTGCTTTGGCAGGTGGGTTCGTTACCACTAGCGCCGCCTGGCAATGCAGGAGACACAAGCAAGCACATGGCTTTGAAATTTTAAACCTGCATCACTGTGTGACATAACCGTGGGCTTTTGTCACCCAATGCTTTGCTAACAATGAGTTATATTAGGCAAGGGATGTGGGCCAGGGATAATATGTTTGGTGTTTGCCTGCTTACAAATGAGCTTAAAGGGGGCAGAGAAAGCAAAGGTATGATCTTTGGGGATTTTTTCGATTTAGGGGATGGAAGGATGGAGTGAGGTGGGGGGACATCTGAGCGGTAGGATAACCAACACGGTGTATTCTGTTAACCATAATAAGGATATTTTGAATGGAGGATGTAGGTCCTAGTGGCCCCAACACCTTTGAGTTACTTCATGGGCATAACTGTATTTTGTTTCTACGGCAACCTTCAAAGTCCCCAAAACAATTCTGGCGTCACGGACAGCCTTGAAAGCTTAGCCCTTGCTGGACGTGCGGGAGACGCCCCCAGTCCGTCGGGTCTCTCCCTGCAGTTCCGCAGGTTGGCCGCAGGGGGCGGAATCTGCGGCGGCCTGGAAAACTGACGGGGGTGGGAGGCGCCGCTCTCTCTCGGGTCAGGCTCCCGGCTCCCGGCTCTGGGCTCCAGGCTGCGGGCTGCCCGCGCCCAGCACGGAGCCGTTTCTTTAAGGACGCGCAGCCGAGGCTAAGGGGTGTGAGGACGCGGGAGGCAGTATCGTCGGATCAGCCCGCAGTCCGCAGCCCCGCCGAGCCTGGAAGCCGCCGGGATGGAGCCGCCGCTCCCGATTGGAGCCCAGCCCCTTACCGTATCCGCCTGAGAAGGGGGAGGGGAGGCCGCGCAGGGCGGGGGTGGGGGTCCGCCGGACTGCGGATCGCGGCGGAGGGGCGGCTGGGGGCAATCGGGCCCCGAAGCCGAGCCGAGCCGGGGAAGGGGGCCGGCGCGGGAGGCGCTGCCTCGGACGCTGGGGAGGAAGGGTGGGCAGAGGGGCAGGAGCCTCTCGCCACCCCGCACGGCGGGTCCCCTCCTGGGCCGCGCTTGTAGAGAAGACCCTTGACTAGCGCCCGCATACTATCGAGGGTATGGAGATGAAGGGTCCTCTCCGGGAGCCCTGCGCGCTGACCCTAGTCCAGAGGAACGGGCAGTATGAGTAAGTAACCACCTGATACCCACAGAGGAGGGGAGCCTGCCATTACCTCCCAACCTCAAACCGCGACAAGCCACCCACCCTCCACCCACTGAGGCCACGTGGGCAACAGGTTCGGCCGGGTGTGAAGTGCCAGTGCTGTAACCACCCGGCTTTCTCCCCAAGTTTGCTCCTGGCCTGTGGCTCAGGAAAGGGCTCTATGGGCGGGCAAGCAGGAAGCCTGGGTTCTTAGTTCCTGCCCCTGCAAATGACATGGGTTGTGTAATCCTGGGCTAGTCAATAAAGCTTTCTGGGCCTTAGTGTCCTCATTAGTTTAATAAAAACATGAACTGCCTTACCTTATAGCCTTTGGAGTTATAACTGGGAGAATAATAAATACGAAAGTGGTTTACAAAGAAGTAAAAGTGCTGTAGAAATGCTTCATTGTTAACCTTCTCTTAACCTCATTCAACTGGTTTCTCCAGTCTCCCCACCCCTTTATTCCATTTGCTTGAAGGCATATTCATTAATTCAGTAATGATTTTGTGTAGGCCAGTAACTGCTTCCCTTACTGACTTGACTGTTAGAAAAAGTAATGAAATGTGTAGAAATGTAAATGACTTTTGGCCTTTCATCAAGGTGTGTTACCTTGGACATAGGAGCTCAGTAAAGACTGTTGACAGATTGATCAAAAGATTTTGATAAGCCATCACCACAGCTGCTGATCTCACTTCCTTGCCACTAATTCTTCATCTAAAGTATCTCTGATGACTATCCTATATAGGTAGGTCCCTATCCCTTTATGCCCCAGCCACCACCCCTGGTTCTTGGCTGGTTTCTTCACATCAGTGAAGAATTGTCAATCACTTAAATCCTGCCATCCCCCAACAATGGATTCTGCTTAAAAACAATTTTTCTCAGTCCCTGTGTTTAGATTGTCCAGATTCAATCTTTGTCTATGCTGTCTAGTTTACAGAGAAGAAATTTCCATTGGCCTAGCCTGCCCTATTCTGAAACTCTTGGTGCCATTCAAACTGGATGTCAGCTGGTTCTGTGGAAGTAGCTCTTGCCTAGATTCTGCTTGGTCAGTTCTGTTTTTGTGATAAGTTCATTTTATTTTTCCCAGATTTCATCAAACTGGAAGACCAGTTTAATGAAAGTAAATTCAACAGAAAAGTGAGAAAAGTGGAACACCAGTACCACGTCCAAAGGCAAGAATAGAATGGGAAGATGTGAACCTTGGGCAAACCATTAAATTTTTGGTGCCTCGGTTTCCTCTTCTTTAAATTATGAGAATTAAATAAAAATAGCTACATTGTTGAGATGACCACATCCTAGGATCTGGTCCCTTGATTCTGTAGGTTTGGAACTGTTCAGCTGATAAGGGAACAAGTGGATGGCCTTGAGATAAACACCTCTTTCTATCCGGTCTCATGTACTGGAAGCACTTTTAAGCTTGCAGTGGCAGCTCTCCTGATTATTTTTATCTTCCCCTCTAGAGAAATCATGTTCTATGTTACAGTTCTGTATAAGTTATGAGTGTAGCACAAGTCACACTCACTGGCTTGATGTGTGTCAGGTACTCTTCTAAGCACTTTCATGAATTAGTTCATTTAACCCTCATGTGAGGATTACTGTGAAATTGTAATATTATCATCGTCATCCCCTTTTTCTTGGTGTAGATATGGAGTTTCAGAGAGGTTAAGTCATTTGTTCACAGTCAGGAAGTAGCATAGCTGAGATTTAAAGCCATGTAACATCTCAGAATTACATTGTATCTGAGAAGTTTCTTTTGAAATCATTTATTGGAGACACCTAATACTGTCAAACCATCTGTATAATCCTTGTCTCTTGGGTGCCTTCTTTAGTTTTGTAGCTCCTGCTGTTAACCATAGGAGAAATTTACTTGAGAGACTAAAATTACAATTGAAAACGACTTAATTGCACACAAGGAATCAAACACTGACATTCTTTTTTTCAAGGTAAATAGATTATGATGCAACCTGTTGTTTCATCTTTAACCTCCCTTAAACAAATCAGAGTATTTCCTAGGGAAATATTTGTGGACTTGACTTGAATTCCCAGTTTATGTTTTTTGATTTTTTTTGGGGGGGGTCGCATTTCTTTTTTAAATTGATATTTATAACATTATGTTAGTTTCAGGTGTACAATATAATGACTTGATACTTGTATATACTATGAAATGATGACCACCATAAGTCTTATTAACATTCATCACCACACATAGTTAACAGTTTTTTTTTCTTTTTTTCTATCTTTGTGCCACGTGGTATGTGGGATCTTGGTTCTGGGGCTGGGGATTGAACCTGCACCCCCTGTATTGGAGGCACAGAGTCTTAACCACTGAATTTCCAGGGAAGTTCCTTCAACATTTTTATTTCTTTTGATGAGAACTTTTAAGACATATCCTCTTAACAACTTTCAAATATACAGTACACTATTATTAACTATAGTCATCATGCTATACATTACAGCCCCAAGACTTAACTATTTTATAACTGGTAATTTGTACCTTTGACCCCCTTCACCCATTTCACCCACCCACCCCCATCCTCTGCCTCTAACAACTACCAGTCTGTTCTCCGTGTCTTTGAGTTCAGTATTTTTGGTTTTTGTTTTTCTGTTTCACACATGAGATCATATGGTATTTGTCTTTCTCTGTCTGACTTCTTCCACTTAGCATATGCTCTCAAGGTCCATCCGTGTTGTCTGTTTTGTGTTGGTTTTTAACAAGACAATCCAGTTGAAACTTTCAAATGTTCAACATCATTTCTATATTACTTTACTTGGGAATTACATTGGTTTGTGTTCATTTTCCTTAAAGCAAGCTCTTTCTCATTGACCGTTGCTTTGTCAGTCTTATCTAGTTTCTGGTCTACATCTGGGTTTATAGGACTCTACTCAACTCATGAACTTTGCAGTTTGAGAAGGACCTGCCCCTATATTCTTCTTTCTAATCACCTTAAACTATAAATCCCTGAAAGTTAGGCAAGTAGAATCAGAGCAGAAAAACAGCATTAATACTTTTATTTCCCTTAGTTCTATCTAAGCATTTCTTTACCCCAAGTTACCCCTTCAAAGTTAACACATTTGAAAAAAAAATTAAAAAGCTAAAATGACAAGCCCCCCAAAAGACAACAAAATAGAAATCAAGCCCTTCTAAAGAATGACTTCTAAGGTCAAATGTTGACCAAGTATGTTTAGAAATTCACCTCTCTTTGTAGCTTAATTAAATGTTTATTCAACCAAAGTTATTGATCATCTATTAGGTAAGAGACAAAACTGAATATGATAGGGTCTTTGCTTTCATGGAGTTCAAATCTGAGGGATTCATATATAGTTTTTTGTATGTATGTATATAGTTATGTATGTAACTATAATGTGTTAAGTGCTATATTTGAGGGACAAGCAAAGGCATGAGGCCACTAGTTCTGCCTGAGGTTACTTGGGAGGAGTTTCACAGAGGAGTTGATAGTTTGAGCTAGGTCTCAGGGAAGAAAAGAATAGTGCTCCTGGCTCAAGGAACCACCTGAAGAGTGATTTTGGGGGAAGTTAGGAGATGTTCAGGATGACCTTTTACCAGTAGGTTACACCTTGATTCTGGACCACTAAGATTAAGTAGTAAGTGAAAATTAATATTTCAGGAGTACATAGGAATTTGGAAGTCTTGTGTTTCATACTGAGCGGCCAAGTTCAGTCATGCTTACCAGAAATACTAGCATTAAATCATAAACCATGATGGAAACACAGGGATATAAAAGCAATCTGGTTGAGGTATCTGCTACCTCATTGGTCACTGGGATTATTTTGCCTGGTGCAGCTGGCTGGGCACCCCCTCTTACTTCTCCATGAGCCTGTATACTTGAAAAGATCGAATCATTCTTTGATAAAAGCCATGGGAATAAAATCAGAAAGCTAATTGATGAAATTTATAATCCATTTATTCAACAAATGTGAGGGACTGCTACATGCCAGGTGTTGTACTAGGTGCTAGAAATACTGTGGTGAAAAGACAGCCATAGTCCCTTCCCTCATGGTCTTCACACCTAACTGCTAGTTCTTCACCCTGGTATGTGTAATCTGAAGGTGTGTGCGCTATAACTCATGCTCTTAAAATTGTAAACTGTTTTTAGGACGTAGACTGTTTTCTCCATGGCACTGAACTGTGGGTATTCAGGTACTGATCATCACTAATATCCTTTTAGACCTAAAGCAATTTCTACCATGATTCTCAGATCCAGGGAACAAGATCCAACAAGTCTAATAAATACAGACTGGATTTGTATAACAATACAGCAATGTATTTTGTTGTTAATTTTTTTTTTTTAGTTTTTCAATATCTATTCATTGATGCATTCTTCTGTTTCCTAGGCTAATAATCCGGTTGCACAAGAAGGAACAGTGTGTTCAAGATATCATTCCTATAAATAGCCACTTTAGATGTGTTCAAGGTACTAGCTTTAATTGCTTAGTTAGTTTTATAATGTTTTTTCCTTTGGTCGTTATCTCATTGTATAACATCATACATATTTAGATTTGTCACTGCACATAAAATGAAATGCATTACCCTCTGTAAATAATCTACCATTGAGAAGATGATCAATTCTTTGTCTAAGAGTACTGAAGGATTATATTGAAATATATATATTCTCACCTGCCACCCTGGCTGGGGTTAGAGATAGATGTGGTCTGTTATCTATGTAGGTAGTCTTTTATGCTGATGAACCTATATGTAGATTTTGATCACATTCTTGGGCTTAACTGATAAACTGCTCATTGTAAACTATCAAGGTCACTTCAATTCACATACATTCAGCACTTTCTCCCCACACTATTTGAAATTAAAACATTTGGCAACACGCCTTGCCAGATTGTAGTACCTTACACTTAATTGTGCTGATTCTCAAACCTTGACATTGGTGAATCATAAGAAAATCGACTCTAGGGAGGAAATACTTGGCTTCCTGCCTTCAAATTTGGGGAAAGAGAACAGAAAATCTGTTGTTTCATCTGCTACAATGAGACTCAAAAATTGGGAGGTTTGTGTAGGAGGTGTTGCTTCTGTCATTTCACATTGCCCTAGAAAGGAAATTGATTATTAGAGAACAAATGCATTAAGTTTCTGGTGGCTCCATTGGCTTATCAAACAGGCATTCTGTGTCAGCTACAGCTTCTTGGAAAACTTGAATCCTGATTTGCATAAATTCTTTCTTAAACTACATGCAACTTTTTTGATCACAAAAGTAATGTATGTACTGTAAAAAGTTGAGAAAGAACAGAAAATTATAAAGGAAATAAGTAAATTCACGTCCTTCAGAGATAAATACCTAACATTTCCCTTTTTTCTACACATGTAACTTTTAGGGTGGGTGGAGCTCATATATATGTGTTTTTTGTCCGTTCCATTTGCTATCATGTTTTGAGTGCTTTTACATGCTATTAATAGTTGTATACTATTCAATTTTATGAGTAAGCTCTACTGTAGTTATTCCCTGTGTTTGACATTTGAGTTGTTTTTTGTTAGTATAAATAATGAATCTTCCTGCGTGTCTCTTACTTCCTTAGGATTTATTCCTATAAGTAGAAATACTAAGTGGGCATGACTTTTTAAGAGAGCATGTATTAAGAATTAAAAATACCCACTGTGAATAGAATCCATATTGTGTAGTAGAATGAAGTCTTTTATTTAGAAGCCCTGTGTAAGAGAGACATTGAAGGAGGCACCTGAGTGCCAAAATAAGTTACTGTGGTCACCTCACTTCTGATAGCATAGTGCTTTTTGTTACATACTTAGCCCTTTAAGGAGGAGAAAAGCCAAAGACAATGATGTTAGTATCCTATTAACTTTATACCTTCTTTGTGCTACTTCTAGAATTTCTTTTACCCTGTTTCTCTTGGTATTGTCTTTAATAAGAAATAGATGGCAGATTGCTAGGTTGGAATCTAGGAAAATTTGTGTGCATGCACACAGTAATCCTCATGACAAAAGGAACAGATACCTCCTTGAGTTTTCACATCCTTTCTGTTTCCCAACCTGTACATCTATTTTGAAAAATCTATGAGTACTTGGGTTTTAAAGAATTAAAGTTACCAAAGAGCAGTTGTGAACTAATACCTCTGTCTTGAAGCACTGTTGTCCCTTGCTTCATTCATCAAGCTAGTAAAAGTATTGAGACTATTCTCTAATATTAGACAACTTGGGGCATTATCAGTTCTTCTGTTGCACCTGAATAATGGAGCCAAATTACAATCCAGGCAAGTGAGGGAGCTAGTAAAGACTGAGACTACTCCTGGCCAAGGTAGATCCAGACTCATCACAAGGACTCAGTGCCTTTGTGCTCAGTTGCTCTTTATAACCCCAGACTGCAACCTTCCAGGCTTTGTCCATGGAATTTTCCAGGCAGGAATACTGGAGTGGGTTGCCATTTCCTCCTCCAGAAAGGAGTCAGTACCCAGAGGGAATACCCAAAGTTTAACCAGCCAGGAGGGTCTGACAGGTGCCAATGGCCAAATCCAAGAGGAAGTGATGAGTTGGATCTAGACACTAGAGGTAAGAGAGGAAGTCTAGGTGAGCCATGGAGAGAAAATAGAACTTTGAGCTTGACCCGTTTTATACTTGTTGGGTGTGGTAAGCCTTGGTAGTTAATGGTAGCCTGAAGATAACTTCAGGTATTCTCTGCTCCTGTATGGGGCAGGGGTGGTGGTAATGAGGTCATTGGAAAATTTTCAGAGACTAGATTTGAGTTAAAGTAATTTACCTCTAGGCTTTTGGGGTCACTTTCTTGGCTTTTTATAAGAATTATCTAAATGATACAGTTAGATTATATTAAGTTAGTGTGTTATAGTTGAGGGGAATTAAACTCACCTTCACTTGAATTAACATGTTATATTCCCTACTATTGTCATTGCTTGGTTTGCTTTGAGGAATTCTGTGTGATTACTTGTTCAATGCATTTTTGTTTTAATTGAATTGCTTATAATCTTTAGGACACAGTGCTGTTAAAATCCCCTTTTAAAAGTGCTAAACAAAAAAGCAAAGGATTTTTTTTTAATGTGTTCTAAAACCTAGGAGTGGTGATTGAAAGAAGTAGTTAGGTGTGTACTTCTTTGGGTTATAATGAATGGTTTTCTCTTCCCTGATCCTATTCTTTCTTCTTTTCCTTTAGAAGCGGAAGAAACTCTTTTAATCGACATAGCTTCAAACAGTAAGTATCTTTCTGAATGGAGTTGATTTTCATTCAACAAATATGTACTTGAAGATCCACTATATGTAAGACACCTTTTTTGCACAATTTTTATCTTACCATTTTATCCTGTATTCTCTGTTTTCATAAGGCAGCCATACATGTTAGTATTGCCTCCCCAAAACACTTAGCCTAAGCTTAAGAAAAAGCAGGTGGCTGGTAAGAATCTTTAAAAAGTTGAAAACGTGATCTGCTTTTCTGATGCTGAACTTCTTTGAGATACCAGTTTTTTGTTGCTATCAGTTAAGTCATTCCTGTGGAGTAGGAAATTGTAGGAAGGGCCATAAAGTGTTTAAAGCACAAAAGGTTTATGAGGTTTTTTTAACTGCTGTTACGTTTTAAGCTTTTTTCCCCTACCTACTTTTGATTTTTACATGTTAAATCATAATGTTTTCCTTAATTTATTATATTATTTGGGAGGCTACAGAGTCCCTTTTGTACCAGGGATACCTTTTTTTTTCGTAAAATAGTTTTGGTCTTTTATTTAAGACTGTCTTCTCAAGGCATTTCTTTATCAGAGAGAACACGGTCTTCCTTCTCACTGTTTCCGTTCTTGCATTTTTTATCTGTTTGAAACATATCATCTTCGACTGTCTGTGCAAGCTGTTCTCCATTTATCATCTAAAATTGTGCTTTGTTAACATGGGGAGGAAAAAATGGGCACTTGAATGCTACTGTGTCTACTCTGTGGTTGCCGTGGGAAAGAGTATGTGACGACATGAATCCAAGTCAAATGGGGTGCTTTAACCTCTTGGTTGAGTCCTTGGATGCCTGGGACTTGGCCCTTAGCTTGGGGCTATCAGTTCATACATAATTTTGCTTAGACATAGTCCCCATCCTTGGCACTATTGTTTTGTATTACACAGTTTAGGTACTTCTTCTGATTTGGATTTTATTATTCTTTCCTTGGTCATAAATTTTGGAACTCTTAAGGGCTGATCCTAAAAGGCTAAGCACCTCCAACTTCTAGCTTCTACTACAGATATCCAGGATAGCAAGTAACCTAATATCTCTGTCTTACTGTACTTAAAAAGGAGAAGGCAAGAGCAATACTAATAAAGCAAAATGTGAGCAAAGTTTGTTCAGCAGTGACTCACATTGCTCCTGAAATTTGCTGAAATTAGATACCTAAATGTCCTGTTCTTAGTATGGAAATAGGTATTTCCATAGCTTAAAAGTTAAACTGAGCTGTGCCTTTTCTCTTACAAACACCTAATTTATGACATTCGTTTAGTTGGCCTCTCCTACATGGAAATTAACCATGTGTTGCTGTGTCCAGAGTTCAAGTTACTAAATTACATAGGAAGGAGTTAAGTAACCACTTGAATAAAATCCTTCATTTATGCCTATTTATTAATATTTGTACTGAAACTAGATTTTGTCTTGATCCTTAGGCTTCACATATAAACCTTTAGAGCACACAATATGTTGTTGGAGGAGACCTTGGGTTTGTTAAGCAAGCCTGATTTTACTGAAACTTTATGTTTTCCCATGTCTGGATGTTGGTATTAAACATTTTAAAATATTTTTTTCTGATTATAGAGATAATACATCCTTCATTATGTACAATTTGTAAAGTTCGGGAAAGTTTAAACTATCAAATTAGAATTACACTCCTGTGACCTAGAGTTCACCACTGTAATTAACATTTTTATGTATCTCTTTCCAGTCCCTTATTTATATTTTTGCATAATTGGAATCCTCGTATATAGTTTTTATCCTGCATTTTCATTTAACAGGTATTGTGACCTTTCCCATATCATTTAAAAGTTTAAAAACATGATTTTTAATGGCTAACGTTTCACCATAGCTATGCATCAAATTTTGTTAATTTAACTCCTTTGTAAAATTAAGTCACTGTCAAGGAACATGGGATATCTCTTTCTACTTACCGAGGTTCTCTATATCTCTCAGTAATATATTGTGGTTTTTTTCATAGATAGCAAATATTTGTAAATTAAGTATTTTTTGATGGATTTTTTTGCTGCTATTGTCAGTGGAACTTTTTTCTTGGAAGCTTTTTTCTCTTCTATTGCTTACTACTAGTATACAGAGCAGCTGTTGACTTTTAGATATTTATCTTTTATCCAGCCACTTTACAGAATTTTATTTTGGGGGAGCCTTTTATTTTCTTTTTTGGTTTTGATAGCCCTAGTCATCTGCAAATAATAGTTTTGTGTCTTTCTAGTAGCTATACCTATTAGTTTTGATTCCTATCTCATTACACCAACAAGAATCTGGAGGTCAATGCTAAATGATGGTGATGATGATGATGATGATGACATTTTATGTTTAGCTCCTGATTTCAGTGAGAATGCCTCAAGTGGTGCTTCACTGTTGAGGACATTATTGCTTATTGATTTGATAGTTTTATTTAAAAAAAAATTTTAACAAACTGCATATATTTCAAGTTTGTATGAGTTTATTTAATTTTTTGACCATGGCATATGGGCATGTGGGATCCTAGATCCCTGACCGGGGATTGAACCCATGCCCCCTGCAGTGGAAACATGGAGTCTCAACAACTGGACCACCAGGGAAGTTCTTTGTGTTTTTAAAATGATGAATATATATTAAATTTTATCAAATGGCTTTTTAGTATGTATAGAGATGATTATATTGTTCTTCCTTATTTGACCTATTGATGGACAGTATGATACTAATTCCCTAATATTGAGCCCTGTTTTATTCATTCTTCAACAAATATTTGTAGAGTGCCTTCTATTTGCCAGGCACTATTCTAAGTGCTGCACAATCAGTAGAAAACAACATAGATAAGGTTGCTGCTCCTGCTTTGGTTCTTGCTTCTGTGCTATTTGGTACTAGTGTCACACTGATGGCTATAATCCGTTAATCCTTTCCATAAGCTTATGAACACCTCTTATGTGCCAGGCACTATGCTCTAGGGATACAGGGAAAAGCAGCATAGGCATGGTACTTCATGAAACTTAGTGCAGGAAACAGCTTTTAAACTGATAATGTATGGTTACATAGTTGCAGGGTTTTTTTTTGTTGTTGTTGGATTCATCACCCACAGCTTGTGCCCTCTTTTATTCATTCTTCAACAAATATTTGTAGAGTGCCTTCTATTTGCCAGGCACTATTCTAAGTGCTGCACAATCAGTAGAAAACAACACAGATAAGGTTGCTGCTCCTGCTTTGGTTCTTGCTTCTGTGCTATTTGGTACTAGTGTCACACTGATGGCTATAATCCATTAATCCTTTCCATAAGCTTATGAACACCTCTTATGTGCCAGGCACTATGCTCTAGGGATACAGGGAAAAGCAGCATAGGCATGGTACTTCATGAAACTTAGTGCAGGAGACAGCTTTTAAACTGATAATGTATGGTTACATAGTTGCAGGGGGGTTTTTTTGTTGGCTTCATCACCCACAGCTTGTGGGACCTTAGTTCCCCGACTCAGGATTGAACCCAGGCCCTCTGTAGCAGAACCCTGGAGTCCTAACCGCTGGATCACCAGGGAAGTCCTCATAGTTGCAGTTTTGATAAATACTATCAGGGAGAAATACAGAAAGTTGATAAGACTAAATTAGTCAAGATCCTCAGGGAAGGCCTCTTTGAAGAAGTGACTTTTAAATTGAGACCAGAGGGGATAAGTAAGAGGTGGAAATGGGGAAGAGAAGATTCCAGGTAAAAGGAACCTCACAGGTAAAGGCCCCAAATTGGGAAGTAGCTTGATACTTTCTTTGAAATGAAAGAAGGCTAGGATGCCTGAAATAAGTCTCAGGAACTAAGGTAGGCCAGGCTAGGACCAGATCCAGTAGAATCTTGTAAGCCATGATGAGGAATCTGGATTTTTAGAGTTTAAAAATTGAAAGAATATGAAGGATTTTATGCCCATGTTGGGTTGCCAGGAGGCTCTTTCAATGGTTTAAACTAGAGTGCTAGAGAGTATAGTGGCAGTAAGAATGGAGAGAAGTGGACAGATATGATAAAAATTTTTGAAGAGTAAATCAACAGGGGTTGATGTGGGGGTAGCGGGTAAGCTGAAGAGAAGTTGTCAAGGATGAATCCTAGATTTCTGGCATGAATGTGGTTGGTGGTACCATTTGCAGAAATAAGAACATTGCAAGAGGAATGAGTTTTTCTGGGGTTTCAGCTATGTTTACTTTGAAATTTCTTTGAGACATTTGAATGTAGATGATAAATTGGCAGTTGAATGTATGCATCTGAAGCTCAGAAGTAAGGTCTGGGTCACTCGCACAAAGAGGGTATTTGAAACCATAAGAGATTAGGTGATTGCATTGTAGAGCTGTGCTATCAGTTATAGTAGCCACTAGTCATATGTGCCTGTTTAAATTAATTAGAACAAAATGAGAAAATCAGTTCCTCAGTTGCACTAGTCACATTTCAAGTACTCATTAGCCACATGGGGTCATTGTTTACCATATTGCACAGTGTAGTTATACAACATGTCCATCATCACAGAAAGTCCTATTAGACAGTGCTGATACAGAGTAAGGAAAAAGGTTTAGGATTGAACTCACTCTATTTTTTAAAGTTTGGGTAGAGGAGAAGATACTTGAAAGGACACCAAAAATTGCGCTTTGACCAAAGAGAGAGAGAAACTAGATGAGTATGGTGTCATGGAAGCCTTTTAAAGAAACTATTTTAAGGAGGGATCAACTGTTGATTTCTGCTGATAGATCTGATAATATGACTGAAGAATATCCATTGAATTTAGCAATATGGAGATTATTGGTGACCTTAACAAAGCAATTTCAGAGGAGTAGTGGGAGCCAAAGTCACACTGGAGTGGATTAAAGAGAGAAATGGAAGGTGAGCAAGTAGTAACTTAACTGTGTCTTTCAAAGCTTGACTGCAGAGGGGACTGTAGAGGTGAACTGGAGTTGGAGGGGGATATGGGGTCCAGGAAGGTTTTTTTGTTTTAAATGAGGAGAATTTAGAACACAATTTATTTAAATGCTGATAAAAAGGATACTATGTGAGGGAGAGGTTGAAGATACTGAGGGGCAGTGTCTAGAGAATGATTGCAAGGGTAAGATTCCTGAGAGAACCCAAGGGGTTGTAATTCCTCTGATCTTCTTCCTTGTACCAGAAGGGAAAGGAGAATATGAATAGAGATACAGGTAGGTTTTATATGATGGCTTCCATTTCCTTTGAAGTATGAGGTAAAGCAGTCTGCTTGGAAGAAAAGAGCTTGAGAAGAGTGGGATTCAAAGACTGATGATAAATGTGAAGTTGCGAATTGTTTTTCCAGATAGTAGTGGGAGACAAGTTGACTATGGAAACTTAGACTGATTCCTAGCTACAGGGCCCTGTTGAGGTTAGCAGTCAATTTATAACAGGGTGTGTGTGTGCTTGTGTATCTGGTTTTACTCTCTCAGATTTAAGTACAGAGAATGCAGTTAGTTGGATTTCTGAGTGTTGAGAGTTAGCCAGATAGGCATAGCCAGAACAGAGTAAGTGGTAAGGCAGTTCTGGGTTTTTGCAACAGAGTGAAATGATGGCTTCTGTTTGACAAAAAGGAAAGTGAAGGGCTTCCTGGTGGCTCAGTAGTAAAGAATCTGCCTGCCAATACAGGAGCTGCAGGAGACACGAGTCCAATCCTGGGGTCGGGGAAAATCCCCTGGAAGAGTAAATGGCAACCTACTCCAGTATTCTTGCTGGGAAAATTCCTTAAGCACAGTTGCAGGGTTAATGCCCTCACAAAAAAAGGTGGGGGAGGGTAGTGAAAGCAAGAGAGAGAGTGAATGAATACTGAGAAAGTGAAGGGATCAGTGTGTCCGAGGTTCCTCTAAGAGCAGGTAAGCGGCAAGGAGTTCAGAGTGGGTATTTGAATTAAAGATTTATGAGGTTATGGTGTTTCTGTGACAAAAGGTCCGGGGTGTAACTGAGGTAGTCCCAGTAAGACTGAGGGAGTAGGGTGGCTGAGGTGGAGGGGCAAGGTCATTGGATGAGGAAGTTGAAGGTGTTGACTGAGTTTTCGGTGCTAATTTTAAAGGGATGCAAAATTAAAGCAAAAGTATGAGTGGAGAGAAAGTCTTATGAATCAGGCTTGGATTCAGAAGTTTCTGGGAGGTTGGTACGTGGTCTCATGGAGGAGGGAAGGGAAGGCGCTGGCATAGTCCAGTGGGTGAGCCTCAAAGGAGAAGGGATTTTTCCTGAGGGAGGAGGAGAGGGAATGGACTGGAGATGGCATTAGGACAAATAAGGACACCAGTCTTAAATTACATAGTGTGTGAGAGACTATAAATAGCCTCTACTTCGGAGGGCCACAGGGGGAGCTACTGTCAGGGGCCAGCCAGTTTGCAGGTGACTCTGGTTTTCTGGATGCACTAGATCACCTGGGGGAGTGTTTTTAGAAATTGCCAGTGTCTGGGCTTCACCCCCAGAAATTCACTTTTCTAGGCCTGGGGTGGGGCCCAAGTGTCAGTATTTCCTGAAAGTGCCTCTGGTAATTCTGATGCTCCCTGAGTTGAGAACTACTGAGAGATTCAGGGAGTATTCAGAGAAGTTGAGGAAAGAGGAGTGTTAGCTGATCTCAGAGGGCAGAAGGGCTGGCAGGGAAGAGAGTAGACGGTTGGGTGGAGGGGGTAATTTGTTCTCTTTCCCATGCAACATGGTGAGAGAGCATCTAGTGTTTTTTGTTTTGTAAGCAGTTTCTGGAATCTTCTGTTAAATGGATCAGTTTTTTTTTCAGTTTATTTTTTTATACTTGCTAAAATGTATCTTTCAAGATCCTGGGACAGAGAGAACACATGTTCCTGTTCTAAGTTTCTATCTGATACAAGCTGCTCTTTTAAGTCTTTTTTTCTACTTTTAATATAAATTATCAGAAAAAGAGAGGACTGTTTGTGTCCTGAAGGAGGTTTTCCCTGTATCTTGAAGGCAGTTCTAATTGACAGTCCTTTTTCATGCCCTTCTTTTTCTCCTTACAGTGGCAGCCTCATTGATTTTCTTATTGCTGGTCCTCTTGCGTACTTTTTCCCCCCATTTTTATCCTCTATGTTTATCTCTTTCTTCTGATCACTAAATCTGATAGATAGAAACATAAAGAAATGCAAAGAAAGAGAGAGTCAAAAGTTCAGAAGTGGATTTTTGCCATAAGAAACTACGATTTTCATTTCATTTTCTCATCCCTTTGTTATTTACAAGTGTGAAAGAGTCCAGTTCTATAGTCATTAAATGCCTTCTGTCTGTGAAGTTTGATGTCATTATTATCAATAAAGTAATTGATGAGCCCAGTTTGCCTGGGGCTTTCCTGGTCTTAGTTTTAGAAGTCTTGAGTCCTAAGAAGCCCCTCTGTCCCAGACAGCCCCGGGAGACCATTGAGAGTGTTGTGTTGGGTAACCCTTATGTGCAGCCTGTCTCTTGCCCTCAAAGAGCTTATAGTTTCGAGAGCCATGAGAAAGCAGTATGTGTAATAAATCAGTTAAAATAAGAATATAAACAAGGACATAGGTTTCCTGGATCACCATAGCCAGACAGTTGATACAGATGGTAAATGTAAGGCTTTAGAAAAGGGGAGACAGTATGTTATGTACATAAGAAACTGAAGTATCCCAGATAACTTTGCTTCTAATTACACTGTTTTGTTTTCTTTTTTTTTTTTTTGCTTCTAATTACACTGTTTTCTAATTGGCTATACTTGAACCAGACCACTCATGGACATGGGTCATTATATTATTTTTGTGAGTTTTTTTCAAGACAGATTTTTTTACTGGAGGTAAATGAGGTATGGATGCTTCTTTTCAGAATAATTCAAGCCAATCCCATTATGCTTTTCTTTTTTACTTAGCTTATGAATTCAGTTGCCTGAGTACAGTCTGTACCTAAGGAACAAACCATCCTATTTCCGTTTTTCCCTTCACACTTCAGAGATTCGTATTAATGTGATTTGGATTTGAAGTGGTAGGAATTTCCAGCTAGGAGGTGTGAGGAGGGTGGTTGGGGAATTGATCTTTTGCTAGAATTTGAAGGTTCCTACAGTGACATATGAGCAACATATCAGAATGTAGGAAACTATGATTTTATTATGCATCATGTCACTATATTGGGCTGCTCATTTACACAGTTCATTAGCCTACATTAAATTTTTCTCTGCATCACCCCCAATACCACCACCACCATGAATCCCTTAATCTTATAGGTATGCTTCATACATTAGAGGTCTGGAATGTTTGCGATTTGGACCTTCTTCTATTAAATTGGTAAGTTGAAAATATGATCCCAGGAAAACATTATATGTAGATGGATTTCTGTTCTTTTTAGGTGGCTGCAAAATTCGGATTCAAGGGGACTGGACCACAGAGCGACGCTTTGAAATCCCTGATGAGGATCACTGTGTGAAGTTTGTCTCAGAGGTCCTCGCTGCTCAGGAAGGTAACTTAGGCCTCAGCAGTTTTCTTTCTGTTTGTGTGGGACATGCATACAGAGACAGGTGGCCGTTAGCAGAGTACCTTGCCCATGGAGCCTTGATAGATGATTTTTTTTTGTTGTTCAGGAATGACCCCAGGGATAGGTTAGGGTAAGTCTATTCAGCTTTAAGGACCCTGAGTCAGTTTCTAGAATCTTCAGTTTCTTGCCATGGCCAGCTTACTGCAGACAGTAATCCTCCTCCAGCCCCAGATGGCCCCAGAGCTGCTCTCATTTTTTTAGTCTCTTCCTTTGTGTTCAGGAATGGTGCTAAGTGAATGGCCTTTGGTGGTGGTGGCGGTTTAGTTGCTAAGTCATGTCCGACCCTTGCAACCCCATGGACTGTAGCCTGCCAGGCTCCTCTTTTGGTTATGGTAAGTTCCATTCACTGGAATGGTTGTTCCACTCTATGACTTCTATCTCTCCAGCTCAGTCACAGCTTCTTGTTCCAGACCAAAAGGAGTCATCCAGCTGGTACCAGAAATTAGACACTAAGGACAACTCTTCTGTTTTTTCAGGTACGGAAAAGATTCTTTTTTTCCCCTGGTTGCTATGATGATTGCAGTCAGCAGATTTTATCTGGGCAGATAAGATAGTGTGGAGTAATGTCAATGTCGGATACCTTCTCCTATGGAGTGGTTTTGGAATCTGTACTCACCACCTCATGTTCACTCCTAGTACTTTCTGTGGCACATTAGCTCTTTCAGAGCCAGCTTAGCAGAGGGGTAAAAAATGCAGACTCCAGGGGCAGACTGCCTGGGTTTGAATCACAGTTCTCTGACTTCCTAGTTGTATGACCTTGGTCGAGTTACTTTGACATCTCTGAGCTTCTGTTTCTTTTTCTGTAACTTAGGAAGATTTTTTTAATAGCACCTATCTTATGGGGTCTTTGTGACAATTAAATGAGATAGTGATATAATCCCTAATTATCAACCAGGCATTGTGCTAAAGTCTTTTATAAATACTCGCTCTTTTAGTCACGTTCCAAGTTAATGTAACTTACTAGTTATGTTTATCATTCTAGTTAATATGTCAGTGGTTCAGGGACAGATGTGCTTCTTCCCCCATCTACGTTATCACTGTTCATATACCTTTCTGTTTGGTAACGCCACTGAGCAAATAGGGGTCAGACCAAAACCGCTGACCAAAGCAAAGTCCTATCTATCCTGAACAAGTTGGATGTTATCTTCCCCCCTCCCTTTGACTCTGGGTTCTGCATCCTTCAGGGCTTCTTGGATTTGAGGATAATTTTTCATCTATGAATTTGGACAAGAAAATCAATTTGCAGAATCAGCCTATAGGGGTTCACCGGGAACCTCCACCCCCACCCCCTTCGGTGAATAGAATGTAAGTCCTGTGATGAAACAGATTTCCCATGTGTGAGACCTCCCTGGTAAAGACAGTTTCACTTCTGAATTGCTCATTTATTTGCTAGGCTTCCACGTGAAAAAGAAGCTTCTAACAAGGAACCCCCCAAAGTGACCAACACCATGCGTAAGCTCTTTGTACCAAACACCCAGTCTGGACAGCGGGAGGGTCTCATCAAACACATCCTGGCAAAGCGAGAAAAAGAATATGTTAACATTCAGACTTTCAGGTTAGTCTCTCTTCTACTTATGAAGGTGAAACATTAGTTACATTAGTTGGTATAGCAAAAAATGTTCTTTTGGTATTTAAGATATTAGTGTAATTAGCTTATTTCAGAATAAAAGCATAATAAAAAACAATGGTGAGCTGATTCAAGTGCCTGTCTTTATGCGGTCAGTAACCTACATATCCACAATAATGCAAATGCTAATTTGCATTTTTTCCTAATTTTTAATTAGAAAATTTTTTTCTAATTTTTCTAATTTCTAGTTTTTCTAATTTCAATTGCATTGATTTTCTAATTACTAATGATACCACATCTACTAATACTATCCACTCTTAGAGAACGAAGTCAAGCTCATATGTACTAGAGAATTGTCTCCTAGCACATTCCATAAGCAGGTGTGTTTATCTATCTGACCTGCTGAATTTCTTCTTGCCAGTATCGGCAAATTAAGTCCACCATTACCACTAGACCTTAATTTTCATTTTCCTACTTTGGTAAGTTAACTAAAGGAAGTTTTCCCAGTCGTCTTGATTGGGAGGCCTATCTTGGATTCTTTCCTCTATTATATTTTTCATTTCATCTTTACTTGTTGATATCCTGTTTTTCGGGTTCACTGTGTGTGGCGTGTGGAGTGGTGTAGTGTGGCGTGTATCTCGATGTGCAGAGCAGCAACACTTTTCTTTGTTATTTGCGAACAGCATGTACCCTTTTAGTCCAAGATTCCAGTCCCATCTGCTATCCCATTATGCCTCATTTATTCTAATTCAGTCATGACTATATCCCTGTGCTGAAGCCTCCAGTTCTTCAGATTCTCCAGGATGCTTATGTTTGTATGTAAACAGTTAAGACAGTCATGAGTTTTCCCTTCTGCTTTCCCCCTTAATACTATATCTGTCTCAACAGAATTTCCTCCACAGATGTCCTTGTAATCCTTCAAGAAGTGAGTTTTTGGATTTAACTACAGTTCCTTATGGAACAGTTATCCATATTAGACATCCTTACAGCATAAAGATACCTCTTTCCCATCCAGAAGTTCTCCCTTCAAATATGTTTGGATGGAATGTAAGAGGAAGGAAATGTGGTAGAGCCATTAAATTTGTGTTTATTAAAGAGAAACTTGATTCCTTTCTGTAGGTTTACCTGATGTGAAATTTAGAGAGAATAAGCCCACTGCCTTTGTGTTCTACAGGCAAGAAGGGGTGTTTGGTATGTGTGGCAAAGCAACTTGAGAAATTACACTGGCTTATTGTAAATATACACTTGTATAGAAGTAATGAGAGAACTTTCTTTAGTTCACACTTTACCTTTGTCTCTAAATTATTTTTTGGTATTATGTATTAGATTTTTTGTTGGAACGTGGAACGTGAATGGCCAGTCTCCAGATAGTGGGTTAGAACCTTGGCTGAACTGTGATCTGAATCCTCCTGATATCTACTGCATTGGGTAAAATACATGTCTGGAATTTCATTTTGGCTATATGTTTGGTGTTACCTTATGTGACATTTTGCCCTTTTCCCCCCACTGTTTGTAAAAACCTACTGTAGACTATACATGAGCGCTAACTTGTGGGTCAAATTTGTGAGATCATAAAGGAACAGATACCTAAAATAGTGTGAGGAAGCATCTAGTCCTCTCAAAACGCATAGAAAACTATATTCTTCATAGAAACTGACATCTGAGGTTAATCCTTATAGTGACTATTCCTAGGATATATAAGCAAAGCTCTGTTACCCATTATGGAAGTTTTTTTTTCTTTTGCTTGGCCTATGCATATACTTGTGGGGGAGTCTTTTGAAAAGAAAACTACTTGTCCTTACTGATCACTTGAATCAGTAGAGCAGTTCTCTAAAATTCCTCTCTCCCACATTCCTTTTTTCACCTAATGTCTCAGAAAATGGGACAGGAGGTAGTCAGAGATAATTATGGGACGTAGATCTCACATCCTCTTGTTTTCTCAGATTCCAAGAGCTGGACTTGAGCACAGAAGCCTTTTTCTACTTTGAATCTGTGAAAGAACAAGAGTGGTCCTTGGCGGTAGAGAGGAGTTTGCATTCCAAAGCCAAGTATAAGAAAGTAAGCCGCATTTAATTATCTTTTTTAGTATATGACTAAATACCACTCACTGGAAGTTACTCTGTTTATAGCTTGTTCCAAAAGAATGGATTAATTGAATTCTCCCCCATGTGTAATACCAGATAGGGCAGACTAATGCTTTTCATTCCTATTTCCTAGAAAAAATATTCCCTAAGCTTCTCGATTTTATAGTTTCATTGCTTGACTAAGTTTTAAGAGAAAGGAAGAATTTTACTGTACTCATAACAATAATTAACTCAAATGACATATAAGTGATTTTTTGCAATAAGAATTTAAGATTGAAATTGTTTGCTTACACGGTCAGAACTGGATGCTTTACAGAAAAGCAGTTTGAAGCATGTGGGTGCATTGGGTAAGCTTTGGAACTGGAGCAAGAACAGGAGTGTTGTGGAATTTAAATGAGTTTAAAACTTGGTTGTAAGTTAAGAGTAGAATTGACTTTAGCAAGGTGACCCAATTTGTTGGTCTTTAGAAGGCACATAATAGAGGCTACCAAGAGAGTTATTTTACTTACGCAGCTACCATACCAAGCCCTTCAAAAGGAGTCATCTGTCTGAGTAATTTTCATCTGCATCTTCTTACACCTGATGTAGGTGATAAGACTCCTGAAGATGTTATTCCTCTCATATAGACTAATACATATTTCAGACATATTTCTAGTTCACAAAGAAGTCAATAGGCTTGTTATACATTTTATTAGGATATTGTAAATCAGAAACTAGGAAGGAGAGCCAAAAGGAACAAGCTGGCATAGAGGCTTTGTCTTTATTATTCAAATTTTTAATACTGCTTACTCATGGTAGGCTAAAACGTGATTAAAATAATGAATCTAGAGCTGAGGGTACTCGTTGTCCCTGAAGACTTTCACTGGTCAGAGCCAGATTAGAGCTTTCCTGGAAAAATTTTGTTTCCTCTTTATGAGGTCCATTGGGAAATTAGAGGATTTAGATTCAAATTGAGGCATGATTATATCTTCTTGGTGGAAAATTACTTGTGGGAAGTTAGATCTGTGCAAAGAGTGGTATTAGCACAAACCTCTTCTAATTCCCTGGAACTTAAAGGTTCAACTAGTCCGCCTTGTTGGGATGATGCTCCTGATATTTGCCAGAAAGGATCAGCTGCGATATATCCGTGATGTTGCTACAGAAACAGTTGGAACTGGAATCATGGGAAAGATGGTGAGTTACTTTGGAGTTGAGCTTGATTATGATTTCATGTCCATATGAAGTTCAGGTGCTCATTGTGTCTTTTGTACTAACTGTAAATAATTACTCTTGTTAACAGGGAAACAAAGGTGGGGTAGCTGTGAGGTTTGTATTTCACAACACTACCTTTTGCATTGTCAATTCCCACCTGGCTGCCCACGTGGAAGAGTTTGAGAGAAGGAATCAAGATTATAAGGACATCTGCGCACGAATGAGTTTTGTGGTCCCAAATCAGACCCTCCCACAACTGAACATCATGAAACATGAGTGAGTGGTTAAGTCTTCTTTAGCCTTTGAGTAGTGGAGCTGAGAAGAGACTAACCATGATGAGAAACTATAGAAATGTGCAGAGTGAGAGATTACTGTTAAGGGATTGGGTTCACAAAGAAGAGGAAGGTTTTGAGGACTAGCAGATGCAGTGAGTCAGAGAAATTAGATTTGCTCTCAGAGGAAAGGTTAGTTCTATCAGCGGTCATCTGAGTAGTGGTGGAGGGAGTCTGTCAGTTGTAATCAGTTTTCATTATTTTTTATTATAAAATAGAAATGTTTATCATAAATATAATAAAAGGTGAAAGGAAAAAAAAATCCATCATTTCTTATCTCTGCTTTCCCCAGGCAGTCCCTCCCTCCAGAGAAAACCATTGTGGACAATTCAGTGTGTATCCTTCTAGATCTCTGCTGTGCACAATGGCAGTCCAGTAGCCATAGGTGGCTATTGGGCACTTGAAAGTAACTAGTCCAAATTGAGATGTGTGGTGAGCATAGACTATACACTGAAATTATGGGGAAAAATGTAAACTATCTCAGTTTTTAAAATACTGATTACATGTTGAAATGACAAAAGTTTGGATATATTGAGTTGAATGGAATTTGTTATTAAAGTTATTTTCACTTGTTTCTTTCATTTCTTATATTCAGCTACTAAAAAATTTTAAATTACATTTGTGATGTGCGTCCTATTTCTTCTGAATAGTGCTGTTCTAGACTTATCTATGCACATGCACACATATTCATATAGGACTGTATTATCCTATATTTTGTGAATTATTTTCCAAGCCAGTAAACATAGATCTACATTATTCTTTTCACTGACTGTGAATCATTCAGAAAAGGGGCCATGGTGACTTAAAGATACCAATGGTTGATATGAAAGGTTAGTGAATAATGGGACTTAATAAGAACGGAAACAAAAATCACTTGAGGAATGGATTGTTAGTAGAAAATAGCTGTAAGGAAATTAACACTAGTAATTGAAATTCTGAGAGGGTGATGAGACTTGGAATAAGTAGTTTGAGATAGGAATTAGCAGGAAAACAAAAGATAATTTGAGGGTTATTAGAATCAATAGAGAGTGGGGTAATTGAAGAAAGAGTAGGGCAAGATAGTGATGTTGGTCTGTTCCATATTGTCTCAACATTTAGGATCGTATGGAATTCTGCTTCACAGTGGTAAAGCAAGGCCTTGACATCAGTGGGCATAATATTGACCTGAAATTCCATAAATTTATTTACCTGGGATTCCTTAAATTTCATGTTGCATCAAAGATTGGCAAGGAGACCCATTTAGAATTTGAAATAGCCCATTTTGGTGCAGTCATTTCAGGGTCTCCCCTGTGGGGCTCTAAGCATACCTGGGGGTCTGTTGCTGTGATTGGGAGCCTGTGGCCCCTGTGGGCTGCCAGTCTCCTTCCTTCCTGGGACTGTGGTTCCTGGGCAGGGGTAGACAGACTGGCGACAGCAGAAAGCCCTGGACCTCTGTTTGCTAGTGGGCCCTGCCCAAGAGAGATGTCATTCAGACTGTGCAGACCCTCGTGGAGAGCCGGTAGAACATCAGGGCTCGAAGAGGCAGAAAATGTTCAGATTCTCTTCCCCTAGAGACCTGGCAAGCAGCCAGGTGAAATTTTGAAGCTAGTCCAGCAAATAAACTACATGCTTCTCTGAGGCAGTTAACTCCTTGGCTCCCGAGTCCCACACACACCCCATATTTCTCCATCTTTGTTCCTCATGCGTGCAGTGTCCGTCCTCCCACCTCTTTTCTCATCCCCTTGTCCCTCTCAGGCATTGATAGTCCTCATCCCCAAAGGATAGTTAGCACTCAAACCCCTTGTCAGATAATGATAAATGAATGCTTATCAGTAATCTACCCATTTTCCTTCTCTGCATTCTCCTCTCATTGACTTTTATGCTAGTTACTACTACTCTCACTCATATATTTCTTGATCCTCAGTGTCGTCATCTGGTTGGGAGATTTGAACTACAGGCTTTGCATGCCTGATGCCAGTGAAGTGAAGAGTCTTATTAACAAGAATGACCTTCAGAGACTCTTGAAATTTGACCAAGTAAGTAAAATTTTATCTTATAGGTACTTTTTTACATAGCAGATAAAATTGTTAAGCCCCATGGGAAGTGTATCTTAATCTAGAAGTAGATGGAAAGGTCTCATTGTCTTGGGAAAACATTGTGACTAGTGAAGCAGTGAATACACACAAGGTTTTTATGAAGTACTTGGATGGGAGGAGGGGAGATAATATTAGTGATAAATAGTCAATGTAACATTTATTCATTAAGTCTTTATCAAGAAGAGATTTCAGAGATTTGTGTAAATGAGTTGGAGAATGGGTGGGGTTAATTGGAAAACACTTCCTGGAGGAAGCAGGCCTTCAGCTATGTTGATGTGGTTTGGCAGATGAAACAGGGAAAGCTGCTCTATGATTACTTGGCAGGCTCAGCAACAGCTTGGAGGTAAAAGAGGGAGGCCCTATGAGGGGATTGGGGAGCACAGAAGAGAAGTTTGTCTGGGACAAATAGCACAAACTGCAGTCTAATGGAAACTGATGGGGAAGTTGGGACTAGCTGCTTTATAGATGTTAAAACTTGTCAGGGAAGCATTGATATGGTAGCATTTATATAAAACGATTTTGAGGAACCTAGTTTTCTGGCAGTTTGCCTCAGAACCTGGCACAGGACTTGAATTTTTTAGTTCAGCATATGGATACTGCTGGTAAAAGTGAATGCTTCTTATTGAGGGGAGAAAATGTTTCATGTTGATTTGAATGTCTATTTTTTTAATGTCTTTAAATCTTAATATGAGGCTTTTAACCTTCAGATATGATCAGAATTCCGGTGTTTTGCAGTAGAATGGTTTTTATAGTGAGCCTATCTTCACCCTGTCTACCTTCACATTGAGGTTGGCTGGCTAACTTCTTTGCATTTTTTCCTCTGTCCTACCTCCAAAGGGGGTACAATTGGAATCTTATGTAATTCTGGTAAAATACTTGAGTGAGGATAACTTTCAAAATGATTTCTAACTCTTTACTGAATTTGGCTTTTGGAATTATCCACTCAACATTTGTGTGCTTTTTAAAAAAAGCTGTACTCAAACTATTATATATAGGATAAACAAGATCCTAGTGTATAACATGGGAAACTGTATTCAATATCCTGTTATTAACCGTAGTGGAAAAGAATATGAAAAAGAATATATGTATAATTGAGTCATTTTGCTATACAGCAGAAATTAAGAAAACATTGTAAATCAGCTATGCTTCAATAAATTTTAAGAAAAACATGCTAACTTCAGGGAACTTATGATTATTCAGGTTTCATTTTTCCATTGTACCCTGACCACCATTAGCAATAAAAAATTAGTGACATGCTTATATGAGCATCTTGTCTGTGGGTGAGTTTAGATGCTGTGGGAATGTCAAAATTTAATTCATAAGGCACAGAAATATTATCTATATACTCTGACAATTGCAAAAGATACAGAAACTAGGTGCATAGAAAAATAGCTGATCAACCTGATTATCACTTCTATTAAGATGGTGTTACCCTGCTTATATGATACATTTTTCTATCTCTAGCTAAATATTCAACGCACACAGAAAAAAGCTTTTGCTGACTTCATGGAAGGGGAAATCAAGTTTATCCCCACATATAAGTATGATTCTAAAACAGACCGATGGGATTCCAGGTAAAATAACAAGAACCTCATTATGGAATAGGTTAAGACCTAATCTTACTTCTGTCCCTCTGAATTGCTGAGGGATTGGAAAATTTGGGGGTCTTGCCAGAAGCAGAGATAAAAACATAGTGGCTCAGTGCTCTTAGAGAAGAGTTTTTCATCCCTGTGCACTCACATGTGAGCTCACCTTACTTGCTTGTGCTTCTGCTGAGTTGCTCTGTTGTGGCCAATTCTTTGCGACTCCACCAGGCTCCTCTGTCCATGGGGTTTCCCAGGAAAGAATACTGGACCCTATATGCAAAACAGGAAAAGAGACACAGATGTACAGAACAGACTTTTGGACTCTGTGGGAGAAGGCGAGGGTGGGATGTTTCGAGAGAACAGCATCGAAACATGTATATTATCAAGGGTGAAACAGATCACCAGCCCAGGCTGGATGCATGAGACAAGTGCTAGGGGCTGGTGCACTGGGAAGACCCAGAGGGATGGGGTGGAGAGGGAGGCAGGAGGGGGGATCGGGATGGGGAACACATGTAGATCCATGGCTGATTCATGTCAATGTATGGCAAAAACCACTACAATATTGTAAAGTAATTAGCCTCCAACTAATAAAAATAAATGGAAAAAATAAATAAATAAATAAATAAATAAGAAAGAAAGAATACTGGAGTAGGTTGCCATTTCCTCCTCTAGGAAGCTCACCTTAAGAGGATGTGAACTGCTCTGAAGTTTTTTTTGTTTTTTTTTTCCATTTATTTGTATTAGTTGGAGGCTAACTTTAACAATATTGTAGTGGTTTTTGTCATACATATGAATCAGCCATGGATTTACATGTATTCCCCACCCCGGTCCCCCCTCCCACCTCCCTCTCCTCGAAGTTTTATGAGCTGCCTGCAGCGCCTTATTCTCTCACCTCAGCAGACTCCTTATTTGATTTTGCCCTCCTGATCTTGCCCTTATTTCCTTACCTACTGCCCTGTTCTGCTGCTTTGCCCAAACTCTTTTTCAGCTCTTTAACTCAGGATACCAGAGGTGAAAACAAAGCAGCATGAAAGGTTCTTCCAGCACAGTGATTCTTGATCCTGAGTGTACATTAGATTCTTGTGTGTGTGTGCACGTGCATGCACGGCTGTGTCTGTCTTTTTGCAACCCCACGGACTGTAGCCTGCCAGACTCCTCTGTCCATGGATTCTCCAGACAAGAATACTGGAGTGGTTTGCCATTCCCTTCTCCAAGGGATCTTCCTGACCCAGGGATCAAGCCTGCGTCTGCTGCATCCCCTGCATTACAGGCAGATTCATTACCACTGAGCCACCAGGGAAACCCTAGAATCTCTTGGGGGACCTCTAATAATACCAGTGCCTGAGCCTGGCCTGCACGACTGCCAGAGGAAGCTGAGAATCCTGTCTAGTGGGGGGCTATTGATTTCCTGATCACCCCTATTAAAGTGCCCCTGTCAGTATGTGCCTGGTGGCTGTGTGTCTTCTTACTGTTTCTTCATTCACTATGGTTTCCTAGTTGTTTGAACCCAGAAGTTTGAAAGAAAAAGAAAATTCCCAGACATCATCAGCTTCTTTAGACTTGGAATGCCAGCGTGGGGAGGGAGGAGCCTGTCTCCCTGTCCTCTGAGGGAGAGAGCTGCTCAGCAAGTGAAAAGTGACTCTGACAGATCTTGTGCACGTTGCTTTGTTTCTTCCACTCACCTGACTTGAGAGTCAACTGAAGAGCTACTGATATGAAATTTATTTGTGTCACCATCTGGATCAGGTGTACAGTGTTGCTTATTTTAATAGAATGATGAATACACTTTTTCCCTTCCTTTGGTATTCTTATAGGCTGTTAGGTGTTCAAGCTTGCATGCTTAGATTTTTTAGTTCATCTTTATTAGAAGAAGCTCAACTTGTGCATAAAAGTCTAGGTTTAAAGAAATCTCTGCTATTACCCATCTCCATTGATTCAACCCAGTCTAGAAATACAGAATTGAATTTTTAGAGTTCATATGTTGTCTATCTGTTGTGAAGTGTCATTGCAGTTGATAGAGCAAACAAAGAGGAAGTATTCTGAATATAATCCTGCCCTTCTGAGGTTATTTTAAGAAGGTGCTATTCTGCTTTCCCCTGGGGCAACATTATTGAAGCTGTAAATCCTGACCTTAGGAGCACTGTTTATTCATCCTCTGATAGCTCAGTTGGTAAAGAATCCGCCTGCAATGCAGGAGACCTTGGTTTGATTCCTGGGTCGGGAAGATCCTCCCTCTGGAGAAGGGATAGGCTACCTACTCCAGTATTCTTGGGCTTCCCTTGTGGCTCAGCTGGTAAAGAATCCACCTGCAATGCAGGAGACCTGGGTTTGATCCCTGGATTGGGAAGATCCCCTGGAGAAGGGAAAGGCTACCCATTTCAGTATTCTGGCCTGGAGAATTCCATGGACTGTATAGTCCATGGGGTTGCAAAGAGTCGGACACGACTGAGCGACTTTCACTTCACTGAGCACCTGCTTTCATCAGATCTTGTGCTAGGGGCTGAGAATTCAGTGGCAAACAAGACAGTCCCTTCACAGAGCTTGCAATAGAGTAGGGAATAGTTGAAGTCGTTAGGAAAGGAGAAGCAGATAATAAGAGGGCTGAACTCAGGTCTGAACCAGTGTGGTAGATACTCCACTCTTGTGTGGTATGTTCTCCTTCTAATCCCTTGCTGTTTTTTTTGCAGTGGGAAATGTCGGGTGCCAGCCTGGTGTGACCGAATTCTCTGGAGAGGCATTAATGTTAATCAGCTTCATTACCGGAGTCACATGGAACTAAAAACCAGTGACCACAAGCCTGTTAGCGCCCTCTTCCATATTGGGGTAAACACTTGTTTGTTCACACAGTTGTTTGTGTGTTAAGTATCTATTCTTAGGGCATTATTAGGGATCAGTAATTTGGTGAACCATAAATGTTTTCAATTCATAACCGAACAATCGTTTGCAACATTGAGAAGTTAGAGCCCTTGACCCTCCTAAATGCTGTCCATATGGCCTTTTAATAACACAGATGTTTCTCATGCTGCATAATGTCTGCGTAGCACCCGTCACCTCCTAAAGTTATTATACATAAAGAAGAGCTTGAAGCCAAGTTTTAAAGGATGATGAATAGCTTTGCATCAGAAAGATAGTGAAAAGGGAGAGGTTCCTGGTGGAGGTCTGGGGACAGCAGAAGCAAAGAGGCACAGACTGGTCAGAATACATCATCTGTATGTAACCCTAAGAGGCATACTGTCAGTCCTGCTAACTAAGATACTGAAGTCTTCCCATCTAGGAGCATGGGTTTTTATTGTTGTTGTTTTTAAAATTTATTTTTTTATTGAAGGATAATTGCTTTACAGAATTTTGTTGTTTTCTGTCAAACCCCAACATCAATCAGCCATAGGTATACATGTATCCCCTCTCTTTAGACCCTCCCTCCCATCTCCCTCCCCATCCCACCCCTCTAGGTTGATACAGAGCCTGTTTGAGTTTCCTGAGCCACACAGCAAATTCCCTTTGGCTATCTATTTCACATATGGTAATGTAAGTTTCCATGTTACTCTTTCCATACATCTCACCCTCTCCTCCCCTCTCAGGAGCACAGGTTTTAAATTTCTCTTTAACTCTGTTGCATCCTGGGCTGAAGTAATGGCCAATATTTGAATTGTTTTGTCTCTGTTATCAGAATAAAGTTTTTGTTTTCCTGTAGTATTTTCTAGGTGTGTATTATTAGTACACAGGTTATATTCTGGGATCTTGTTGACTTAATTTAGCACAGCTAATACATATAGATTATTCCATGTAGATTTTCCAGACCTGAGGTCATATAATCTGACAGAATCTATACAGGGCAGTGCTTGATAGAATGGACCTTACAGCTAGGCTGCTTAAACTCTCATCGAAGCTCAAACTCTTTCTAAATGTAACCATGGAAAATCTATGTAACATCCCTGTACTTCAGCTTCTTCCTCTATAAAATGGGGATAATGGTATATCCTCCAGAGGATTAATGAGTTCAGACATGCCAAGAGCACAGTAGGATGGATTTCTTTCCTCTGTGCATATGTAAATTTTTTTTACTTCTGAGATTGGTTCTCAGCAATATGTCTTATCCTGCTCCTGTCTTAGAGGGGAATGATTTTGGAGCATTTCCTTTATGTAGAAATTTAATTCTTGGTCTTAGAATAGATTCTAAATTGTATTGAGTCAATCATGACTTGACTTTCATCCATTTTGATATTTTAAAATAATAATGAGTAATAATAGTATGTGTTTCTCAAGTAGTAACTAGTATGTAGCAGACACCGTGCTAGGCAATCTATACACATCTCATTTGCTCCTCACAACAATGCTTTGAGTTAAATATTTCTCATTTAACAGATGAGCAAGTGAAAAACCAGTGAGTTTTAATAAACTTTCTTAAAAAGCATTTAGCTAGAAGAAGAGCTGAGATTCAAATCTTAAGCCTGTCTAATTCCCAAACTTACAGATGATCTTTCCACTACCCCTGCAAGGCCTCCAGAGGTCCAGAGAACTTACTGAGTACATGTACCTTCAGATACTACTTTTTGCCCACTTCATTTCTAGCTTAAACTTGTAGACTGCCATGTTTTCTTCATTTGAGTTCTCTTAATCCATTTTTAGAAGAATATCTTCCTCCCAAACACTAACCTTTTTAGTTTCATCAGCTATGCTTAGCTTTTCTGTGTATATTTTTTTTCAGAACCTCAGAATATTTCTAATATTCCATACATATTAATTCAAAGCTCCCAGAAGGATATTTACAGGTTTTCCATGCTTTCTGTGTATTTTTGTGTATCTTTGATAAATTTGGCTCAGATGGTAAAGAATCCGCCTGCAAGGTAGGCGACCTGGGTTCAATCCCTGGGTTGGGAAGATCCCCTGGAGAAGGGAATGGCTACTCACTCCAGTATTATTGCCTGAAGAATCCCATGGACAGAACAGCCTGACAGGCTATGGTCAATGTGGTCACAAAGAGTCAGACACAACTAAGCGACTAACACATACATATTAATGCAGAGCTCCCAGCAGGATATTTACAGTTTTTCCATGCTTTCTGTGTATATTTGTGTATCTGTAATAAAGGTCTACCTTTCTAGTTTTTAATACTTTTTAAATTACACAGAGATGCAAACATGTTTTCTCTTTAAAATAAAAATAAGCAAAATTCACAGGTAAAGCTGAGATCTTTAGCACCCGTTCTAGCCTCCACTCCCACTTTTGCCCAAGCCCCAACTCCTTAGCAAGGCCAACTACCCTTACGAATTTCTTTTCTTTCTAGATCAGCACTCTCCAATAGATTTTCTGTGATGATGGAAATGTTCTAAATCTATCCTGTCCTGTCTAAATCTATCCAGTAGCTACTAGTTGCAGGTGGCTACTGACCACTTGAAGTGTGACTGAAAGAACAGAATTTTCGATTTGATTTAATTTGGAGTTATTTAAATGTAAATTTCCTTATGTGGCTACTGGCTGTTATATTGGTCAGCACAGTTCTCAATGTTTGCATTTGCTTTTCTGTTTACCCATACCCAATATGGTATTATTTGTGTGTTGCTGTGTATATATCATAAATGGTCTTATACTGTATGTGTTGGTATACAACTTACTATTATTTAATTCAGTGGTATATTCTAAAATGCTATCCATGTCTTTATATAAAGATCTAGCTCATTGTACTTAATTCTGATTTTGTTGGTAATTTCTTTTTCTAAAATGGGTGTGCCAAGTGGTGACATTCTGTGGTGACATTTTTCCCTTCGTTACCCTTCATGTGTGTTAAGGGTTTTGATCATGATAATGCTCTGAGAAGAGCTTTGATTTTATTAGGTAACCACCCCATATTTTGCACTCTTAGGCATGCTATGATTAGAGGCTTTAAGAACCACATTATGTTTCTTACCACCATTCGCATCAGTGACTGTTAACAAAGGGACCAAGTGCTCAGGGGCCAATTAACTTAAGACTTGCTGTGGGCTGGCTGAGATTAAGCTGAGATGGGGTTCCGACCCCTGCACTTGGCAATGGGACCTGTTGCATTAGTTCTCAGACTTTGGTGGGTGTCAGAATTGCCTAAGAGCTTCAAAATGCATGGACCCTGTCCTCTGGAGATTTTGATCTATGGGCTGAGGCATCTGTGTTTTTAAGACCTACCCAAGTCACATACCTGGTATTTTGGAAAGGGTCTTATGCTAGAGGTTCAGATAACACCTCTGCTGTTAACTGGCAGTGAGCAACTTGGTTGATTTCTTTGTACCTCGAGATTCTCAACAGTGAGAACAGTAATCCTTGCTTTGGTCACCTCACAGGTTGTTGTGAAAATAAGATGACATATGTAGAATACTTTTTGAAATAAAACTTGCAAAATGTTGAAAAATAACTTAGGAAGTATTAAATTCCTCTTACCCTAACGATGGGTTACCCCTCAGTTCTCTAAGTATGGTTCAGATATGTAAAAACCTTTGAGATACTTGGCTCAGCTTTATTTTCATCCTTTCCTTACAGCCTCTACTGTATGCATCAAGCTGTTTTTTTTAATTGAATTTGTAAAGTTTTCTATTCTGAAAAAGAAATCAGGATCTTAATAAGTGAAAAGGCTATGTTAATTTTGTTCATTTGGAGCATCGATTTGTATAAAGTTTTTTTTTTTAAATTCGTTGGAGGCTGATTACTTTACAGTATTGTAGTGGTTTTTGTCATACATTGATATGAATCAGCCATGGATTTACATGTATTCCTGGTGCACTGGGAAGACCCAGATTTGTATAAAGTTTTAACAGTAAAAAAAAAAAGGCACAGCTGTGTCAGGAAGCTGAAAATGCTGTGTCAGATGGGAGTTTTTTGATCTGTTAGTCAGAATGATTTGTTTGTCTATTGTCATGCTTTTACTCTGGGACATTTTGTATTGGCTGTTTTCTAAAATGTCCGTAGGGTCTATTTACTAACATACCTTTATCATCATATAATCTGAGCATTGGTATTATGATTCTTGGCATTGTGCATAACAGCTAATAGAGTTAAATGCTTTAGTAATTATTTTCTGCTATTTCAGTGCTTCATGATCATTGTTGGAAACAGGTATGTTTTGACACTGTCAATTTGTATAATGGTGGAAATAATATTTAAGCACACTCATCACATTTTCTCCACCACTAAATTACTTAACAGTGGAGCAAAGAATATTCTTCCTGAATATTTATTGCCAAGCTTCTTAGCACAGAGGTGTAACTTTTCCAAGAAGTTAACCAATTAACCTTACCTCTACCTTGCAGTGTGTGATTCTGTAACATTTATTTAATTTCTGTTTGTTTTACTGACCTTTGAAAGATAGTTAGACTCTTTGAGATATATGAGTTGAGAGCACAGAAAACTAAATAAGGATCTATCTGATTTGGTTTTTTTTTTTTTCAGATTATAAGGTGTGAATGAAATGAGATTTCAGAAAGTGTTGGAGGAGGTTGTTTGCACCACAGTTTATTTGAAATGATTGCTGTAATGACCAGTTTTAAGCTGTTAGGTAATCTATGAGCTGCGAGCATGCAAGACTGAAAAGAGGGTTCATTTTCTTTCAGGTGAAGGTTGTGGATGAACGGAGGTACCGGAAAGTGTTTGAAGATATTGTACGCATCATGGACAGAATGGAAAATGATTTCCTTCCTTCCTTAGAACTCAGCCGGAGGGAGGTGAGCATACCCAGCCACCTGTCTCCTGCCCATAGTGGTCAGCACAGGGGAAATTGTGTAACTAGCAGAGTTGTGAATACTGTGTGAGCTGAAGGCAGAGTGCCTCTGTTCCAGTCCCTGTGCTGACCGCAGGCACCTGTCCTACCCTCTCTGAGCCACAGTTTCCTTTTCTGGATAAAGGGACAGTTGTGAGGATTACTTGAGTTAATACACGCGAAGCCCTTAAAACAGCACTGGGCACAAAGTAAGCCCTCAGATGTTAGCTGCTCTTATTTAATATTTCAGATTTGCTGGTTAATTCATATCTTAGGAACCAGAAGTTGATCACAGGATACATGCCCTGATCCGAGGTCAGGTTATCCTCTCAGGATCCCAGGAACACTCAGTAACCTAGAGAAGTAGTGAGACCTGCCTCACTCTGCCATTGTGAGAGGGGATGGTGGACAGCTGGCTCACTTGGCGAGTACATCGGCAGTTAATAATGGTTAATAATGACCTTATTCTTTATTCATATTCTCTATGGAATAATCCAACTGACTTTCTTCCCCTACTAGTGATGCATGTTTGTGTCTGTCTGTTATTCCCCAGTTTGTGTTTGAGAATGTGAAGTTTCGGCAACTACAAAAGGAGAAGTTCCAGATCAGCAACAATGGACAGGTTCCCTGCCATTTTTCTTTCATCCCTAAGCTTAATGACAGCCAGTACTGCAAGCCATGGCTTCGGGCTGAACCTTGTGAGGGCTACTTGGAGCCAAGTGAGTTTCCCCTTTACCATTGTCTCTGCTTGTGATGTACCATCCCCTCGTGACTCCCATCCCCTCCCGACTCCCATCCCCTCCCTTTGTTTAACTTCTTGTTTTCTAACCACACGTCTCTCACCTTCACTGTCATTATATTGGGGTTTCTCCCTTTTTTGTGTGTCCCATCTCCTTCATCACTTGATGATTTTTTTAGAGGACAGTTCTTCTGTTGGTTCTCATCCCCTTTCTGCTTTTCCACTGGAAGTTTCTGTTACCGTGTATCATCTCTTACATTTCAGATGAGACTGTGGACATCTCCCTTGATGTGTATGTCAGCAAGGACTCTGTGACCATCCTGAACTCAGGGGAGGATAAAATTGAAGATATTCTCGTCCTCCACCTGGATCGAGGCAAAGATTACTTCTTGACCATCAGTGGAAATTACCTCCCAAGTTGTTTTGGTACATCCTTAGAGGCTTTGTGCCGAATGAAAAGACCAATCCGAGAAGTTCCTGTTACCAAACTCATAGACTTGGTAAGAGGCATCGTAAGGTGTGAATCTCCCTAAGATGGAAATTTAACAGTGCTTCAGTGATGTCCTCCTTGTCTCTGTGCTTTCTCTTTGGGCAGGGCTGGTGGGAGGAGGTGGGGGGTGGACCACAAGCAATGAATAAGAATGTCACTTTACTCTAGCCTGCCTTTCATTGGATTAAGCCTAAAAGGAAAGAGAAGAGAGTAATCTGTAATTGACCCTTGTCGTGACTATAATAGATAATACAAAGTTCCCTGAGTGAGATTAAAGCCTCCCTTTTCAGAGATGCAATGCTTAATTGTCACACTCTTCATATTTTCAAGTCATTTTTGTATAAATTAACATGTACGTGAGGTCCAGTGAGGGGTAGGGCAATATTATCCTCATCAAACTTACGAGAAAACTGAGGCACAGAAACAATAACCTGCCCAAAGTGGAATAAGTTAGTGATGAATCTGTTACCCAGATTTTCTCACTCCCAGTCCAGAACTTCTCACTGTATCATATCTGATCCATGTCAAACTTGGCTGTTTGTTGGAGCCGAGACCAAAATGAAGCTCAGGGTACCTGCCTCAGAGCCCCCGGGGGTCCTTACCCAAGTGCAGGCCCCTCCCCCTACTCACCTGTGGCAGTGGAATCAGAATCTCAGGGTGCAGGGTCTGGGGATCTGTGTTTTTGTCAGCATCCCAGATGGTTATAATGTGCACTGAAGTTTGATACAAGTTTAATGTGACTCAACTGGAGAAGAGAAGAGGAGGATTTCCATTTCCCAACACCAAGCTATGTACTTATGGAGGAAATGCTTATTATCTTCAGGAACATAAATTATCTAGTAACAACTATTAGAACCTTTCTCCTATGGAGAAGGAAATGGCAACCCACTCCAGTATTCTTGCCTGGAAAAGTCCATGGACAGAGGAGCCTGGCGGGCTGTAGTCCATGGGGTTACATGACTGAGCATGCATGCAAGAGGAAGGTGGAGGGAAATGGGTTGGTAGCAATAAACTGGTAGAACTTAACAAAAACAACAAAAAAAGAACCTTTCTTCTGAATGAAAATATTGTATTTGTGTGCAGACCTCTTTGGGAAGTACACTCAGTCTTTTACCACAGAAAATTAAATGATGTGACAGCCATATGTTATCATTACCACCAGTATTCACATTGATCCTTTTGGCTTAGCTGGAGCAGTGATTGTATCATCTGGCAGGGAGGACTAGACCGGCGGGCAGGCTGCTGGCTTGTCAAGAGTATGATCCATTCTGTTGCCATGGAATTGTTGTAGCGATGACTCAGATGGCAGATTAAAACCCTTGAGCTCATTTGCAGCGTTCTTTCTTGGAATATGCTTGTTTCCCTAGAGCCCTCATGACTGAGTGTATTATTATTCATGATACTTATTTTTTTCTTCTACCATCATATTCCTGTGTTTTTAGATTTATTATTTCACCTTTTAGAATACGTTCTAAATGAAGTTGTTTCCCTTTCTTTTTCCTACCATCTTGCCTCCATCCCAAACGCCATTTCCCAGCTTTCTTGTTCCCAACTTTTATTATGAAACTGGCACATGTGCAGAAGAATTGAAAGGATGGTGCAGTAGACAACACCCACATGCTTTACACACGTACACCGACATATACCTTTTTTTTGCTATGTTGTTCAAAACTAAGTGGTGATGTGTCACTTCCCAGTGTACACTTTGACCTGCTTCTTGAGAAAAAGGACACTTTCTATATCAGCACAATGCCGTTATGACACCTAAGAAAACTAGCCAGTCAATATTCAGATTTTTCCACTTGTCCCAATAATTCCTCTCATAGCTTTATAAAGCCAAGATCCAATTCAGATTCAGGCAGTACATTTGGTGAGGTCTCTGCAGTCTCTTCTAGAGAACAGTTCTTCCCTTTTTTTCTTTTGATGACGTTGGCTTTTTAAGAATCCAAGACAACTGTCCAGTCAAGGGCCTGCCATTTTAAAAATTTGTCTGATTGTTTCCTCTTAATGATTTTTTTAAACTTATCCTTTTGTACTCCCTCTAACTGGAACCTTTTGCTCAGAGTTAGTTCAGGCACTATACTACCCTTTACTCTAATTGTCCCATCTTAATTAAAGGGATGGGAAGGAGACTTAAGCAGCATTAAGGAAAGTTTCTTTAAGATATTATCAGGTAATTCAGCCACATTTGACCATGAATAGGAAGTAGCCAAAGTCTTTAGTGGAGTTAATGGCTCTGTAGAAAGCCTTTTTCCTTCTTTTTGTGCACACATGATTCAGAGTTTGTTTTTTAAATAAAACCCTGATCATTTGAGCTCTTCTTAAATTGTGTTTGTGTGGTCACAATTTACTCTGTTTAAAGCTTTAATTTTGTAGGATTTAGGGTCCCGATTCTTTTCACAGCCCTTTGCATTTAATTATTATTAAATTCCTGGATCTCATTGATGAAGAAATTATCCATATTAGTGTGGGGAAACAAACAAGAAATCTAAGATTATCGTACCCCATTTGTAATACCTTCCCATGCTGTTTTGGCTTGATTTTGACCATCTGAAATGCTTCAGTTTGTTTGTTCATGCTTGTTCCAAGACCCAAGATGATAGTTCAAATCCCATGAGACGGTACCCATTGTCCTTTTTTGTATTGTTTACTCTAAAATTTGAGTGAAACCAGAAATGAGTTCAGTGCCTGTGTTGACTTTCCTGTGCTGTTTTCACCAAGATCCTTCTGCTCCATGCTCTTCCCCACAAGTGCAGAATAAAGTAACTGGTGTAAATCCTTTTCATTCTCCCTGATAGTGACTTTGCCGCTACTAGAGCTATTAGGATTAGCACAGGTGACAAACAGGATGATCTCTTTGTAATTATCTTTATTCTTTTCCAGAATTAAGGTAGATTTTTCTGGTTTATTAAGTAGCATATACTCGTCAATATGTATTCATTGTATATTGAATACAAAGTATTAGAGAGTTTATTGGGTTCCTATAATTCAGTGGTGATAAAAGTTTACTTGTATTTACAATATGTCTAAATTCTAAACCAAGGTTAATAGAAAGTTTGGTTAGAGATCATCTAAACTTAACTTCCTTTACTGACCCATGTCCAGTGTGTTTGGTAAGTCAATATTTTAGAAAGTTATTTAAAATGAGTCATTTAGAATGTGGAACTTGTAACTTATACTAACAAATAGATTCCTTTCCTGTGCTGCTCACTCAAGCCCTTATATGCTGTAAAAGCTTATTGATTGATGAGCTAATTTCTGTGAAAATCAGTCTCAGAATCAGCCTATTTTGGTGTGTGAAGCTGCCTAGATAGGGTGGGAGTGGGGGATGGAGGGTCTTGAAGTCAACACATGAGTTTATACTGGAGCCAGAGGGCATCTAGACCCATCAGAAGTCTTTGATGAGTAGTATGTGGTTGTAAATGGTCGCATTAGTAGGTGGTTATAAACAGACACATTTGGAGGGGCATTCTAGTTTACGTGTAGATTGGACTAGTGGAAAAGGAGACTAGGCCTGAACCCATCAGATTTAGCTAAAGGTTTGGCTTGTAAATACAGAGATGGAAAAAGTTGAGGGATGAGGGAACCAGCTGTATTTGCTTGGGGACATGTCTATTAAGGGCTTTTCTGGGTACTCAGATGGTAAAGAATCCACCTGCAATGCAGGAGACCTGGGTTTGATCCCTGTGTTGGGAAGATCCCCTGGAGGAGGGCATGGCAACCCACTCCAATATCCTTGTCTGGAGAATCCCACGGACAGAGGAACCTGACAGGCTACAGTCCATGAGGTCGCAGAGTCGGACACGACTGAGCGACTAAGCACATCATGTGTCTATTAACAGAACGATATCAGAAATCTGAAATAGCATGAATAACAATTTGGTAATTAATTTGTTTCCAGTGATCTCTTCAGTAGATGTTTGTTTTGTCTTCCTGACCTAATGACCCATTTCTTACCCTGTGAAGTTTAAGGTTTGTGTTTCTTTTTAGATTTCACATGAATGAGTCCTTTCTAGAACTTCAATATCTGTTCAGTTTTCTGCTTTTTAAATTTGAATCTGCCTCTAAATGACTTTTTGACATGATTTTCATTGCATTTATTACTGGGAAATTTCCTCTAAGGCTGAATGCTGGGGTGAAGAATGATTTGCAGTGTATTTGTGATAAGCCAGTGTTCCTGCTGGGGACTCCTGGGCTCTTTTCCCTTTTTTTTTTTTTTTGAACTTTTTATTTTGTATGGGGTATAGCCCATTGATGATGTTGTGATAGTTTCAGCTGAACAGGGAAGGGACTCAACTGTACATATACATGTATCAATTCTCCCTCAAACTCCCCTCCCATCCAGGCTTGGCTGCCACATAACATTGATCATAATATGATCAACATGTAACCTTTTGCAGACAGTAATCAAGTCAGATGAACTAAGTGATTAGCAGCAAGGGTAGGCCTGCTTAGGAGAATGCTTTTTTTTAGTGGGGGCTAAGTGATGTTTCTATTTTCAGACTTGAACCTAGAGTTGAATAAGTATAAGTTACACCCACTTTCTGCCTGAAGCCAGAGGAATAAACTATCAATGTTAAATCTGCTGCACCTCCACCAATACCAGAGACCTTTTGATTTCAGAGTTTTCTCTTGTATCCATTCATTTTTTAAAATATTATGTTCCCATTATTAGGTGAGGTGCATACTCTCTCCCACTTGATCTACCTCCTTAGCCTTCTAATGATTCCCTCTGCCTCTATTTCCCTAACCTTGCATTTGCCTTCTTCAGGGCTGTCAGACTGATCTTTTTGTAATACAGCTATGGGGCCTATCGTTTCCTTGCTTAAAGGCAGACCTTTGGCTCCCCCACCCCTGCTGAATACAATCCAAATTGCTTTACCTGTCATTCAAGGCCCTGCAGAGTCTGACTTCAACATACCTTTTTAGATTTATTTCCTGATAGTTTTTTCATTCCCCCTTTATCCTCCCCCAGGAACCATATTACCGACTTTTCCCTAATCTCACCACCTTTGTTTCTTTCTGCCCCCCCACCACTTGTAATGTCCCCACCTCGTCTCTACCCTTGAAAATCCTGTGACTCTTTTAAGGGCTAGTTGGACTTCTTTCTTTGTACCCCTGATTTTTTGTTCATTTATTTTTACCATTTATTGAGAACTCAGATTGGTGAATTACAGTAACGCCAGGCCATAAATTCTGGGCCTCTTTACCCCAACTCAGTTGCAAACCCAAGTCAAAAACCATGTCTTTCCCCTCTGTGTAGCCTCAGTTTTCATACCTGCCCCACACCACCACCCCTCAAAGACATTTAGCTCAGTGTCTTGCACTGGTAGACAGTCAGTGCTCAAAGAAGACCTTTTTGATGGTTTGGCAGATTAGTATATAAAAACTCTGCCTGGTTTTACTTATCACATCATATGGCACATATTCATGGGAGGGAAAATAGAGAAGTCTGTCAGGAAGATTCTCTGCTTGTTAATAAGTAGCTCTAAATTTTAAAAGAGATTGTACTCCAAAATTGAGTTAACTTAGACGTTTGGCCCTCAGAATTAACTTCCAAAGTATTATAATTACAATACTATAAATTTTGTATCCTTTATAAAGCACTATTATTCTGATTACTTCTGTTTCATTCTATATATGATATTTCATTGTATCTATGCTACAAAAGTATTTTTAACTCATAATGTAGCTAATAATACTAAAAATTCTACCCATCATATGGAACAGTCATGTGGGACAGATGCACTCAGCACTACTAGTTGGAGTGTCAGGGAACACGTACTTCCCCACCTCCAACCTCCTGCACATTTCTGATGGCGAGATCAGGATTTCTCCTTTCACTCTCAGACCGAGACATGGGATTTCTATTCAGATTCTTGGTGGCCCCTGACAGGGTTGGGAATTGTTGGGGAGGTGCAGGGAGCTTTGAGAGACCTGGCCTGCTGCTAGCCTTTTGCACCACCACTGCACGCCCTCTACCTCCCTCCCCTACTCTGAGTTTTAGGCCACTTCTGGGTGCCTGTGAGGTAAATGTTGTTGTCTCTGGTTAGAGATGGAAAAACTGAGGCTCTGTGAAGTTCAGTAGCTTGCCTGCAGTCCATACAAAATGAATAAGAGGTAGAATGAAGATTCATACCCAGGACTGCCTGACACCCACGCCTGTACTCTTTCCACTAACCCTGCTGCCTTGTAACTGTCTTTAGCCTGCCAGAGAATAGACTACATTCTCGAAGATTTCCTCTGCCTCTCTGTCTAGGAAGCAGCCAGTTTATCCTTTTCTGAGTTACCTAAGGGAGCATAGTGGTCATGACTGTGGAGTCAGTCAGACTTGCGTTCTAATCCTGATTCTGCCACTTAATACCTAAGAGTGTGGCCGTGGGCAAATAATTTAATCTCCCAGAGCCTCAGTTTCCTCATCTGTAAAATGGGTATAGTATCTACTTTGCATTTGTGCAGAGACTAAATGGCGCTGTATATGAGCCTGTTGCAGTTACCGCTACATGGCAGATACCCCTTAAGTGGTGGCAGTAGTTATTGTTGCTGTTGTCTTTGTTAGATGGTAATAATGGTGAAACACAAAGATGATTAAAAAGATACCTTCTTCCCTCTTCCTTGCTTCTCTTTTTTTCTGTTATGCCCTATAGGAAAACACACTAGGGGATAATGATGGATCTTATGGTCCACAAAGGTCTGGAATGAAATGAATTTGTATTTCAGAGAGACTTCATACTTGGGGACTCTAATGGCCCTTGAGGAGGGTAGAGGGTACCAGGCAGGGGAAAGGAGTGAGAGAGCCCACTCGCTAGGCTGAGAGGCACGGCAGCAGAGAGGAGAGATGCTCACCGTCTCCTTCTGCATGGCTGCTCTCGGGCTCACAAACACATTCTTCCATTGAAGTGGCACTAGGGTGAGCGAGATGCCGCCCAGCAGCACAGGAAGAGGAAACCCCAGTGGGCATTTGGCTGGTCAGCTGTCATCTGCAAATGGACATCAGAGTCTAGGACTGCACACGTATGTTTCTTAAGCGATAGTCTCAACAAACTGCCCAAAATTGAATATGCATAATCGAGAAATTTGTATGTGAGAATGTGTTCCACTTTCAACAGAATTTATTTGAAGAATTTAAAGCTGTTTAAAATACATGTATCTAGTAAGCTAGTGCATTCTAATAATACTGATCTGTTTCTAATTCTGTAAATTAATTCTAATCATTTTCTATCTGTCAATGACTTTCTTTTCCTGCTCCGCTCTCAGGAAGAAGACAGCTTCCTAGAAAAGGTAATGCAATCCATTGGTGATTATGCATTTCCCTGTACTTGGTTAACATTTAACCATGGTCCTTGGAATTTATCCCTCAGCTTTCCCATATCAGAGATCTCTGACTCCATGAGAATTCCCCCAAATTCTGCCAGCTGTGTTTAAAGGAAAGATACTTATTACACCTGCCAAATCGTTGAGACCCAGAACATGAAAGCAATAGGACCCAAAGTTCCAGATTACTGTTTTTTGAAATGAGAAGTAACTGAAGATCTGTCTCAATGTATATGAAAGCTCATAAGATAGAGGAGGGTACCGCTTAGCCATTCTCCATTTTCAATGATAGTAAAAGCAGAAGTGAATTTCTGTTGCATTAAGAGTGATTTGGGGGAAGTGATAAGAGTAATTACCAAAAGAATACACAGATGTGGTCAAGAATAGAGCATTGAATAGAATCCTAGACCTGAATGAGATCATAGGGATCATGTGGTAGAGTTCCCTGCCTTCAGACAGGGTAAGATGTCATCTCCATTCTAATAGACAACCCAGGAAGGTTGAGATCCTCACTGAAGTCATCCTGCTCCTGACATCAAGGGTGTGGGGCACAGGGGACTAGAACCCGGGTCTCCTGCATATCCAGTGCAGGAACCAAGTGAGCACTCCTTCTATGGTCCTTTGCCACCTCTCCATCCTCAAGATGGAGGGTGCCCAGCTCCACACAGGGTCATCTAATAGAGAAACATGGGCTTGAAAACCATTCTTAAAACACTTTCACACAGTATCTAATGTGACCTCCCCATTTGGTAGAGTTTAATGTGTTTTGATGGTAGGCATGGCATACTGTTTTTGTGCTTCAGTTAATATCACGAAGGTTACAGAGTGTGGACTTATCAAGCACTGAATGTCCCCCATTGAAAGAAGACACAGCATGCCTGGTTTCTCTTTGAAAAATTAGAGTTCAGGATCATTTGTGGACTTTTTTAAGTTTGTTTCTTGGGCGTAATCTTTCTCTAGACTTCAGAGACAACAAGCATGACATTTCATATTAGCACACATGAATTTGAAAATGGATAGTGGATGGTGTATGTAACCTGGTGGCATTTTATTAACCTTTTTAAACCACTAAGGATTGAGACGGCTCTGCTTCCCAACCCTTTCCTGTTAATAGCAGGCCATGTGTCTTTTCATCTTGAACAGTGCCTCGTGTTGCCTTAATGCCTTAGTACAGGCAAAGTGCTAATTGGATGTCAGATTTTTTAAAAACTACATGAATTGGTGCTGAATAATTTATTCTGCTGAAGAATCTGTACATGTGTTGCATTTGGTCCAGAAAGTGAGCAGAGTGCATTATGGACAGTGTTTTGGCTCAGGTATCATGTGGATGCCTGGATTTAATACTTGCAAGTGGAAAGAAGTTAATGGATGAGCCATGATTGGAGGTCTGGCAGCTCTCGGAGACGTGAATATAAAGTGATGGATTCCCAGGGAAAGAAAGGAAACAAAATGAATGTGAAGAAGATAGATTTTTAAATGCTCACCAACTGTCATGCTCCCTTCTTTTCCTGATGCCCGTAGAAAGGCACAGCGGCTTTAAAAGGTCACCCGTGCATGTTGAAGAACAGAATGCTCTTCTTAGCCCTCTGTCTGTTCTAGTGTACACGCTCTCTGAAAGTAGTGAAACACTTCTCTTCTTTCCCTTCAAGTGACACAGCTAAGGGTTGTGGATCAAATTTACAGCACTTCCTAAGTTTGAGTATATATAATATGTGACCTTAAGCCAGAGGTGTAGGAGGAGGTGGAAGATGCCAAAAACGTCACCATTTTCTGCACTGGATTTTGTATGAAGGCTGCCTTCAGATGCCTTTTAACCTATTTCAGAAATCTTTGTGATATATTTTATATTTGACTGTATAAACATGAAATCATTGAGTTTATTCCCCATTTTCCAGTTCAGATTTAGTTACTGATCTAACTTATGTCGCTTCTGGGTTTTCCTCTGAGGTTCCTTCAGGAGAATCTAAGAGAGAGTAGAAAGTTAGGTGAATGGAGTCAAAGGCCTGAGAACTCTTTGCTGAACTGTTACTATAAAGAATAACTTCTGGACTCAGAGCCTAGACTTTTCATGGTATTTCTGGCTCTTGGTATGCTGTGTTCAGTTTACTATTTTTGGATCTTAGGACTTTGAGTTTTAAGTGTCTTAAAATTAGATCTTCTATCAAGCCTGAAATATTCATGCATGTAGGTCTAATGTGAATTGTCTTTCATTCTTGAGGATCAGAGAATGCCATTTAAATCAACAATGCAAGCTCTGATACTTGTGGTAAGACCTAAAAGAAGAATAAATTAAAGTAAAAAAAAAACCTCAGTAGCTGCTGCTCTCTCCAGGTGCTCTGTTGACAATTGTAACTTAATGGTCCGTGGGTCTCCAGTAGTGTGTGGAGTCTACCGTGACTGTATTGCTGGTTCTCAGTGTCATCCTTGAAAGGATTTACAGTGCACAGTGCATCGACGTGAGAAACATAGTAAACCCAGAAGGAACGCTTAACGGTTAAGTGAAGCGTCTTGTTAGAAAAAGAGATCATTTAACTGTGGAAATCCATATCGAGTGCCTTGTGACCAGGAGCGTCCCAGTGAGAAAAAAACAATCTTAAGAGCTGAAGATCAGATAATACCCACAAAGGCAGAACTTGGCGGGGGGGGGGGGTGGAGGAGATGGTTTCACACAGGAATTTTTATTGAGACCCTTTTGACTCTCACTCTTTTTCATCTATTAGGAGAAATCCCTTCTACAGATGGTTCCCTTGGATGAAGGTGCCAGTGAGAGACCTCTTAAGGTCCCCAAGGAGATCTGGCTCCTGGTAGACCATTTATTCAGATACGCCTGTCACCAGGTGAGTGAGGGCAGGCCTCCGGGCACCTTTGGAAGGCACCTGAGTCCACTGGGAAATGATAGTACTTCGTGTCAGTTAACTTTCCCAAGCCGCTTCTGCAGAACAGCACTGTCACATGAGAGCACCTGGGCAAGTGGAAGTATTCCCATGTATAACTGTGAGAGCTGAAGCAGGCAGGCTCGGGGATTTACCTAAGACCATGGCATAAGTGTAGTGGTAGAGTAGGGCCCAACTGAGCTCCCCTGTCCCCTGGCCACACACGCTTTCCCCTGGACCACTCAGCACCTGAGTCTGGAGCACCTGCTTCAGCTGTCACCTTGGCATCACAGATTTCAAAGTCCAAAGCAAACTTCCATCCCATTTTTATAGTTTGTCCTTACTTTTCAGTCCCATCTAAAATACCTACCATCCCCAACCCATCCTCCCAAAAAAGAAAATTTTCTTGGGACTACATTGAAAGATAATGTCTTACTACTGAAAAGTAACAGAACTTGAAAGCAAGGTTTGATGCGGACATACCCTTGACTCCTGCCCTAGCAGTCTGTGTGTCGATATTTGGATATGGTCCCCTGTTTGGACTCCACCTTCTGTACCTGTCAGGAGCCTGGAAGTGGGAATGCCTGATGTCCCCGTCAAGTCATCCAGTCCCCTGCCCTGTCAGGTGCAGGCTGAAACCTTTGACAATAATCTCCCAGTTTGAAAGAAAATTTCACACAGATTATAGAGATGATAAAGGGAAAAGGTGCCATCGTCACACCTCTGTTCCTCATCATGGATGATGCCTCTTCCTTCCCCTCACTTCCTGCTGCTCTCCTGATCCCTGGGTAATCATCAGAACCTTAGGGCTGGTCATTTTGTGTTTTTCCATTCATTGTAACCTCTTTGGTAGGAGGATCTGTTCCAAACCCCTGGAATGCAGGAGGAGTTACAGCAGATCATTGATTGTCTGGACACCAGCATTCCCAAGACAATCCGTATCCTTTTCGACAAAGGCTTAGGAAGCTGGATGTGCACTCGCTCAAACTCTTCTTCCCACCTGCATGTGATTTTTGTGTTTTCCATATTTATTTTATTTGTAACTGTCTTTTGACTGTACAGTTTTCAATTCCCTTTAGGAACTTTCACGCTTTCTCTGTATGAGACACTTATTAAAAGGAATCAAAGGGTAGATAACCATGAATTGTAATTGGCATGGGACGTATGACCTACAGCCGTGGTGCTGCTCTGCTTTAGGCCAGTGATCACTCCTGCCACCACACCACAGGGAGGAGGATGGGAAACCTTGGTGATGAGTTTCCAGTGTGAACTGTCATTCTGCAGGCCACGTTCCCTTGACTCTCGAGTCAGGCCAAACCTCCCAAGGGTGTTCGATCACTTCTCTAACAACTCAGCTGCAGCATACCTGGACCACTAAAATATCAAACCCCAATTAGGATCAGGGTGCCCTGAATTAAGAGGAAGAAAACCACCCCTGAGGGAGCTTGAGGGAGGGAGCACATTGCATCTAGGTGTGGCCTTTTTGCTGGAGCCTCTTTCCCTTGACAGAAGGCCATCCAGCTGGCAGTAACCACTCAGTGGCTGAGGCACTGCTCATTTTCCTAGAAGCCCTGCCGGAACCTGTCATCTGTTATGAGCTCTATCAGCGATGCCTCGACTCTGCTCAGGATCCCCGGATCTGCCGACAGGTGAGTCTTGTTGCTCTGAGAATGTGTTTGAGTCAAGTTCTCCCACAGAGAAATCACTCATTTTTACAAAGCCAGCTGGACAACCAGCTGTGTACTAGGATGGGTCTCGATCTGTTCAGAGCAGGACACCAGCATTGAAAGTTGGGACTCTTCAACTGTAGTCTGTGTTATTTCCTATTATATTTGCCACCCTCTTCCAGTTAGCCCGTTGAGTAGGGTGCACACCTCTTCTCCAGGGTAAAATTGGTAAAACTGATCACATGCAGCATTCTGGCCGACATGACCAGGAAGGGTGGGTGACACTCGTGAGCCTTTCTTTTTGTCTTCTCGGTGTTTGTTTTTAATCTTTAAATGCTTTTGAGGCACAATAGCTGAGAATACCTCTGAATCAGACTAGTGAGTATCGGGAGGTGCTCCCACCCATGCCAAATGGCATTGCACAGAAAACCATTCAGCTTGGCAGATGCCACCGCCACCTTCCTGGGGAGGTTGGGAGAAACCAGACTGATACCCATCTGCACCTGAGGCAGGGCGTGCGTATGACTATGTGTTAATGTGGTCTGCTCATTGAGTGGACAGGGGCCAAACAGGATGACCATTCTGCCGTGTGAGTTACCATTCAACAGGTAGTATTGGTCATGAGTCAATAAGGGAGGGGTCCTGTAAGGGTTGAATTATAAACTGCTTTCATGGCAGCTGCAAGCTCTTCTTATTCCCTTCCTCCATCTGTTATCCTCACTGCCCACCCCCCTTTTTTTTTTTTAAAAAAAAACAGGTGATTTCCCAGCTTCCAGGATGCCATAGAAATGTTTTTCGTTATTTGATGGCATTCCTTCGAGAACTCTTAAAATTCTCCGAGTACAACAATGTCAACGCCAACATGATCGGTAAGAACACTTCCTAGGAATGGCCACATGGGAGCATTGGTCAGGACTGTCCATGGATGGTGGACACATGTATTCCCTTCTTTGTGTCCAGGCGTGTAACAGTCACTTCCTCCCACTGCCCTCATCCCCTGGCCCCCATCACTGAGGTTTTGCTTAGGTTGTGTCTGACTGAGGGTTTTCCCCTTTTCTTTCTCTCTCCCTCTAGCTACTCTCTTCACTAGTCTCCTTCTAAGGCCTCCACCCAACCTTATGGCAAGACAGACTCCAAGTGACCGCCAGCGTGCTACCCAGTTCCTTCTGACTTTTCTACTTGGGAGTGATGAAGACTAATGATAAGCCTTTTCCTCTTACTACTCTCCGAGGTTCTAGAGGCAGAAGATCTTGGGCCTCGAGTATTTCAGAATGATTTCAAAAGTCATGCCACAGGAAGGGTCCGTTGCAGAATTTCGAGGCTGTTGGCATGAAAAAGTTCTGTTTCTAGTGTGAAAGGAAAAGAGTCTCTTAACCCCTCCCTTGCCATATCCTACGCAGCAAGATACTTTTAGACTTATATTGCCAAGCCAAAGTTAACCATATTTTGGTGTTTTTGTGTTCTCTCTTCATAAGGCAAAGAGACCTGTATTTACACTCCTTTCCCTGGGGATGTGTGTGTTGCCCTCCAGCCCAGCCATCATGATTGTCCTTAGCACCTGAGAGCTAGATTCTGAGGTGTTCCCCTTCTAGGCCCACAAGCACTACTTGCCATAGCTCAGACTTGTCCGCAGTCCTTGGTCTAAAGCACTTTGGCCCTACCGCCTCCCTATATCACCCCTTTGTGCTCTACTCCACTAACACTACCATGTCAAAGAAAGTCGGTGAGGCTGTGACTCCTTGGGTATCTCCAACAGTGAGTTAACCATCTCCATGTGGCTTTTACATGCATCTGTGCATTCCTACCACAATGGTATCTGTGTCCCTCCCTAACATTGGCCTTTTATGGATCTGTGATGAGTAGAAGCATATTCTCTTGTCTCAGACCACACTTAGTAGCAGAACATTAGGGACTATTAGAGATGACGTCTCATTGATGTGAGAGAATCACAGAGTGGAAGCACTCTTGAATGTTTCAGGAGTGAGAGTATTCATGTTCGACAGGTCCTGCTTCCTACCATCCCTTTTGGTTCTTATGCAAATTGTACACAAAAACCAACCCTGGGTGTCTGTGGGGCCCATACCCCACTTAGAAATCCACCTCCAGAGCAACGCTTGTACCACAGTCAAAAAGGGAGGCTGCACCCCAAGTGGTCCTCTCTACAGAAACTGTTCCTTCCCCCAGCAGGGGAATTGAGGATAACCCCGAGAATCCCCTCTCTGCTCTCCTGATGTACCATCACCCCCTCCCACATCAGGACTGACTGGGGCCCTGCAGCCAGCTGCCCTCAGCTCCCAGTCACCTGTCCAGTGCTGCGTAAAAGAGACTGTGCAGTGGGACAAAGCAAGCACCTTCTCTTGCTCCCAAGACAACCCTCTGAGCTTGTCATTTACCCAAGCTCCTGTGGGGCAGCCCTTTTTAAAATAATTAATCTATGTTGGTTGGCAAACCAGCCACTGACTGCAAAACTGCCTGATGTAATTGACTTCCTCCTGGTTTTCTTTCATTAAAACCACCCTGAGTTGACTCATTGTCACATGTTCACATGGAAACCCCAGAGCCGTGTGTATAGGCTGTGTGCAAGGTCTTAGGCATTGACTCCTGACTCTTCTAGAGCATTGAAGCAGAGAGCCAGGAAAGCACTGCCATTGAGTGGTTCTTCAACTCCCCTGTCTCCCATGCATTGAGTTCTTTGGGGGAAGAAAAGGTATGTATCCTGTGATATTCTGCCTAAAGCCTTTCCTGACTGGGAATTATGGAAGTAGGAGTCAAGTTATTGGTACCAAATAGCTGCAGACCTGGTCAGTCAGGGGCTGGGTGCTGAACTCAGTTACTGGCCGACTGAGCACAACCCTTTTGTCATGTCCACTAGGTCAGAAAGGGATCTGAGGAGAGGCAGGTGATAGGTAGACGCTGGGGCAAGGTGGTCACACAAAGACAGGGAAGTGCCTGTCCTAGACACATTTCCCAGTCGGCTACCACCTGGGGCCTTCATGTGGTCAGGGCTGTAGTTGGTGGGGACCGTGGGCAGCGTCCAGCTAGCTCTCCATAAGGCAGGTGCACCCAGTTGCTTCACTGCCTCCACCTTCTGTCCACCTCTGGTCCTGGAATGTACACAGGGTCAAGGGTTTTAGACAATCTCTCGGGATGGGAGATCAGAAACAGAGCAGACATAAGAAATCTGTTTCCCTGCCTACTCCAGCACCCCACTCTCTAACCCCTAGGTACCTCTAATGCACTATTTCCTAGCGCCTCTGAAGTAAGGAGTTTAGATCCAGCTGGTAAGGAAAGACTCTGCAGCTATCGTTTTAGGGAAGAAATGGTTTAACCCCTCGTGATGATGTTGCATTAGTCTCCCTTTCACTGTTTCCTAATTTTTATCCTGTAATGAATGGTTTGTTATATTTCCCCAAAATGTCTTGGTCACTAAGCAAAGCTGCTAGTGGGATTCTGTATTTCGTGTCATCTTTTTTATTATAATTTATTGCAAATTTTTTCTGAATAAATATATGTTGTGTGAAAAACCAAAGTGTGATCTTAGGAAGAACTGAGGGGGTGGCTTATGTCACCAGGTCCCACATGACTGCTGCCATCCCCCCAGCTATGCCTGGAGTAGCATTTCCTATCTTGAAAGGAAATAGCATCAGAATTCTCAGTGTACTTGCCCATGGAGAGGAGAAGAAACCACATATTATCAGAAATAAACAAAGCAGTTACAGTGCTTTCAGAAGCCAGCCAAGGATCCTTATTTTGACCCTGGGGATTCAGGCAACAAAATAACAATGTTAGAAGAAAAGATGTTGATTCTTGATGGCCGTAAATGTCACACTGAGTCAGATCCATGATTGCGCCAGCCCCAGGAATCTGACAAGCTCTGTCGTATGCATTTTTGGAGAACCACATTGGCCTTGGCACCATAACCTCAGTAGTTTAGACTTGCCTCCCAAAGAGGCTGTTTTCACATCGTTCATTTGCAACTCTTAAAAAATCAGTTTTGAACTTGTAGTACCTCTTGGGGTGACAAAGCCCATAAAGTTAGTTGTGCTTTTTTGAACTCGAATCTGAGCTCCATCACTTGGAAGAGGAAGCCCCTCATTTGAACATAGTGCCTTTATTCCCCTGCCTCCAATCTCTGGTATGGATTTGGGCATTCTGATTCCTTTCCCTTCAGGACTGAAGAGGCCTCAGCAGGAGGCTTCTTTTCAACCAGGGCCCTCTTCCAGTCTGCTCTGTGAACTTGACCCAAATGCGTGTGCTGATTCAGTGTTGTCATGAACAGTTTTTGTAGCCCCACCCAAAGCCTTGGCAGAAGAAGGTGTTTCCTTTTGCAAGTGATTCCCCGCAGTGGATGGAGCAGCAGGCAGTGCGACAGGGCAGCCTCAGTGACTACCTCCCAGAGGTTAGAAACTGCCTGCGAGCTGCTGTTACTGGAGACCCATGGCGGCCTTCCTGAGTGCCGGGCAGGTGGAAGCCCTGTCTCTTAGCGTAGCCTAGCAACCTAAAGCTACATGTTGCCCCGGCAAGATTGCTGCTAAGTTAGAGAACCTTGGTGGTGGTCTAATCCAATCCTGTTTTTTCTGATGGTCTAAGTCAGGCTCAGAGGGGATGGTGAGTGACTTAATGTCACTTAGGTTAGTGACAGGGCATGGCATACTGGGGAAAGAAAGAGCTCCCTCCAGCTTTGGAGTTAGACCTAGTTCTTTTTTCTTTTTTTTTTTTTTTTTACAAAACTTTTCAAACATATAGAAAAGCTGAAAGAAGAGAACATGAACACCCTAGACCCCTAACCTGTGCTCACCAACTGTTAACATTCTGCCCTAACTGATTTATCTCAGAGGGGCCTGGTTTCAATCTGGGTTTGGCCACCACCTCCTTGTGCGTGGTCCTGGACTAACTCACCTCTAGTTTCCTGGCCTATCAAATAGAATGGGCAGAGTACCAGTCTTGTATGACTTAACTACTTCACTTTCATCACTTCTCTCCTGAAAACACTTCAGTTACTTCCCAGTGCATTTAAGAAAAAAGGCCAGACTTTCCTATGGCCCACCGGGCCTTGCATTATTAAATGAGAAAGAAACAAAGTGGCAAACCTGGTGCCTGGCACATAGTGGGTGCTGTGTGGATGTTAGCCATCCCCACCCCCGCCCCCACTCTGCACCAGACCATATGATGCTGGCTCTGCTGCCCTACCCAGGGTTTTTGCACTCATGTGCTGTTAACAACCTTGGCTCGGTAAAATCTGACACCTGCTCAGCCTGCTCTGCGTCCCTCCTCCCCCCACCACAGACACACCATCCAGTCCCCTTCCATACTTCCAGATTTCAGTTCTACCACACATCTTTTTGGGAGTGGGGCTGAAGTGTCAATTAAAGGATGAATAATGAGGCGCCATCACCAGCATGTCACACCTGATTGCGGTGAGCCTTGAACCTTGGAACCTTACCCATGGCTCTGCCCATGCCCACCACTGGCTTCCTTTTGCTCCTTCCTGCGCTGTCCACCCTCAGTGCCTGGTTCCTAGCCCCACTTCCTCTGCCTGTGCCTGGGATAAAGTGCCCCCCCCACCCAATTACCACCTTTGCTGCTCACCTAGGTTGATTCTTTCCCGACTGATGCTGCCTTCTTCCTCACCTCGGTCCTGGTTCCCTGGGAGGAGATGAGGTCACACTTTGAATCCATGGCTCTGTGCTGGTCAATGACCCCATCTTGGCTACTTACTAGAATCATCTAGACCATGTTTCTCAAAGAGTGGGCCCCAAACCACCATGCTGAGCACTGTGAAATGAATTCAATAAATATCCCTGCCATCGACAAGCAGGCCCCCAACCACCAATACCTCGAAACCGGTCTAAATCAGCGGTTCTCAACACTAACTGCATAACCTGGGGTACTTTAAAAAATACCAATGCCTGGGCTCCACTTTGGACTGTTTGCATGCCAACCAGTCACCATCCCCCATCCCTGCCACTATACTGTGACACTGTCCTTTCACTCCTCCCAATGAGCTAAGCTCTTTCCCGCCCCAGGGCCTTTGCAGATGCTGTTTTCTCTGTCCAGAAACCCCCTCCCTCATGCACTTCAGAAAGCCTCAGCCTCCATCTTTGCCATGGTTAGCCATGAGTCACCACCTGCCCCACCCCGTGGCCCCCTTCACTCTGTGCTCCCATTCCTAGGTTCCTGGCACAGCATACTGGCTGGC